AATTTTGTTATATTGACTATAGACCGCTAATTGATCTTTTATGTTGTCGTGTTACATCGTATATGCACCGACAACATTTATTGACGATCTTTTATCTTTGGCATACATTTTTCAATAGAAAATAACGAAAATTCTACATTGAATATCTTCCTGTGATGGTAAGAAAATTTGATTATGAAAACAAATAAATCAACATACGTATATCAACGAGTATATTCTTGAATAAGTTTGTTGATTCATTAGAAATATTTGATTTTATTCGTGAAGTTTTGATTATTCAGTGTCATTTAAGATGTAAGACACTGAACTATATGACATATACTATTTCGTGCAGTCCATCATTCTCATGATATGGATTTGAATCAATTAGTTGATTTTCAGTACTATTATCAAATTTAGCTGTTTTTGCTTTCCTTTCAGTTATTTTTCATTAGGTTTTGTTTTTCGGTAAATCTTCTTCAAATTATTTTTCTAAATCTAGACAATGTAAGTAAACATTACTTTTATCTTCCATGGTATTATCAACATCGAAATAAACTTTCCATTTTAGAAGAAATTAAATATTTTTTCTCCTTACCTGTTTATCAAGGATACCTTCGACTCGAAATTCAAGTTCCCCGATTCATCTCTACGCGAACAATATTCGACATATCTAAAATGAACCTTATGACAGTTCCCCTCGGTATATGTTGCGATGACGAAACCGTGCGGATTGTTGGAAACAACGATCTGCCAGAGCTACTGTTAAGAAGCATACGGTCTGGTGATTCTCTTTTTCTCAATAAGAGGTGATCCTTATTCCTATGATGGTGAAACATATCATTCTCCGTTAAAAAAAACTAGCATACACATCAGGGTTACCAAATTCAAATTTTAGAAAACAGGAGTTTTTTGTGAAAAATCAGGAGTTTTTCAGAAGAATTTTGTTCGTAAATCAGGAGTGTTTTTTTGACACTCAACAATCATTGGGTGGTCTTTATCTGACAACATCTGATTTTTCACTAATAGACGCATTAAACTCTTTTCCTATAATGAGATTGAGGCTGAAAATTTCCTTGTAGGTGAATTCCCATGTGAAAATTTCAGCGAAAAAGCTAGCTTAAACTCGCTTAAAAATTCGCTTAAACAACACCTTTCAGCGCACATTTTTAAGCGACTAAAAGTGCTTAGAACAAGACATCTAAGCACTTAAAAGTGCTTGGGATCAAACATCTAAGCGCTTTTAACTGATAAAATAGAATATTGAAAAAAGAAACTATTCGCAACTCTGAACTCTTTATGAACGAAATATACTTGAAATTGTGCCAAGTACCATTTTATTTCATTTTACTTACGTTTCACTTCATTAGCAGCTAGCCGGTCAATTTTTTGAAACAGCTCTGATATATGCCGGAACCTGGTCTCGAACTTTACTCCTTTAGTCCATCGAATTGGAAGTCAGTAGAAGAAGCCACTTGACTACATTGTCGTACAAATAGATAACGATGAAAGTAAATTATAAATTATACGAAAATAAGATTTCACACTAAGTTGCACCCTTTTGTTTTAGTCGTGCTTCCAATTACACACTAGAAGCATTTTAATTCTTGTAAATATTTCTGAGTTTGATTACTTTTGCGAAAAAGTCCATTTTAGAAATTGCATAATTAATCTTTTTCTCTTAAAAGAAAATGGGTTTTAAGAAATTCTGCTTCAACACTATCGGGTCAACGGCATGTAAAACCTGATATTAACCTGATCCTATAATTTGTTCTTCAGTATTTTTTATTTTTTTCCGAAAGATTTCGTCATCGAAAAGTATTTTATTTAAGTTTGATGTAATACTTTAACTTTTAGATTTCCCAGTATCAAAAAAAAATATGTAACACTAGTAAAAAGTCGAGCGAAATTATCAGATGGTAGTGGTAGATTTAAAGATTGTTCTTCTGAATTAGTTTGACCACTGAAAAATGTACTTTTGATTGTAACTGGTTTGTAGGATGATCTAATTCGGTGATATTTTGTATCAATTTTATCAGCGTGTTATCATCAGTTTCACAAGCTGGTATAAAAAAAACTAATTATGAGACTTATGCACATCTTCCAAGCATAATCTTCGATCGCGATTTACGTAGCAACCCATATTTTTGTACCACTATCAACAAGCAAATCGCTAAAAAATTATATTGAAAGACTTGTTAAGATTCTCTGTCAGCACTATAAGATGTATTATAGGAAAGAATTTAAATCTCGATAAAGCACCGATAGTACTATGTTACACAATCAGCATAATTCTGTTCCTTTTTGAAGGGCAATTTCTTGGTATTTAAGAAATTTAATAGTTTTACATCAACGTAGGCAAAGTTAGTACGACATTCAAGATTTTCTAGCCTTAATTCATTTATAACCTGAGTTGAGTTTAAAACCACTTATGCCAGATCCAGCTGTTTAAGCTCTATCGATTGGCATCTATAATATAATAGCAGTCTTGGCGCGAAAATCAACGATATCGTCTATAATACCATGTTTTGGATAGTTTCATGCTATAATCATACGCAAAATAAAAACTACTTTACTTACTGATGGCATTATACTACCATATGAAAAGACTTTTTTTTAGAAAAGCTGAACATTAAAAAGGATCTTATTGAGACTTGTTGTGAAGTTTTACTACGAGTAGAATTCTCTTAAAAACTATGAAGTCTTCTATATTCACAAATGATTCGTGTACTAAGTACTTTTAATCGCTGAATTAACAAAAAGTGAACACCGAATTCAGACTTTTTACATAACAAGCGCTTAAAACTGCTTAAATTGGATAAAACTTCAAGAACTCCCAAATCATTTATTTAATAATTACTTTAAAGTGCTTAAGAATAAGAAAATTTTCAGCAACGTTAAGCGAATTGCACACTAAGCCATGATAAGCGCTTAAAATAATATTTTTAAGCGAAATCAAGCCCCTGGTTCAGAAAAATAACTTTTAATCGCTTAAATCATGCAAACTCAAGTGCTTTTAAGTTATTAAGTTAGAAAAAAGCTGTTTTAAGCCGCTTAAAAATAGCTTACAATGGAAATTTTTTTTACATGGGTACTACGTTATTATATCCTTCATTCAAAAATTTTGATATCAGTCCTGATTTGCATGCAAGCGCTATTGATTTAACAAAGAAAGAACAACTGAAGCGTCATCTCTCAGTATCATCTATCACCTGTAAAACAAATATGAAATCACATGTCCGTTCAGCTGAACTTGATTTTTAATCTACAAATCCGAAAAGTCTTCTTTCATAATGTTTTGATGCATCAAAAAATGACTTGAAATTATCGATAACACCTTATGATGAATTAGAAGAATATATGGCGCTCAATGTTTAATTAAATGAAAACGATGATGTCTTGTTATTTTAGTTACAACATAAATTGAAATTTCCAACGCTATTTACTATGGTACAAGATTTTTATGCTATACCGGCATCGAATATAATCATTGAGCGACTGTTTTCGTCATCAAAGAATACAGTTACGGATAAACGTACTAGTCTTGAAGCAGAAAAAGTAAACGAGTTATTATTTTTACAGAAAATTTTGAATTTATTGAAACAAATTTGTAAACCACAAGTAGTTAACGAAACTGCTTCAACTGAAACGAAACGAAAGATAAACTTTGAGTCATCTTGCAGTACATCATGTGATGATCAAGAACAATTAGCAACTACAACAGTAAAAAAGAAGCCAAAGGTGAACGAAGAAAATGGTATTCTTTGTTCAGAAGATGATAAAGAAAATGATGAAATAGATTGTTTTTAGAACTTATTTAGTTTGGTAATAATTCCAGATGAATATTTCATATAATATGGATATTTTTGTGTTATTTTTTCTTTTTCTTGTATTCTTTGAAGAATTTTTTTTTCAATAAAAATTGACATGAACAACAAATAGAAACGATATACAGGAATTTCTCAAAAAAAATATATGCTAATTTTTACTCAATGCGTCGCCAGAACAACACTCTAAGTAAAAATGTGTCGGATGTGTCGTAAACTACGACACAAAGCACGACACATTCGAGTACGACATGAGGTGCTCATTGCGACACATTTTTCACAACACATCTGACACATTTTCATTGGTTGTTTTTGAAACGCATATTTCGATATTTTTTAAAATTTAATAACATATATCTCTTTATTTTTTGAAAATTCAATCTGATCAGATCCTAAGATCTAGCTGATATGGAATTGATCCGATTCCTATCAGACTATTCAGTGTAGTCCTTCCCGGATCATGGATCGGGATGGCAATTCCGTGATTATAAAGTAATCAAGAATTGATTTCAAAGAAAATTTTATTTCGAGAACTTATCTTCCATGCGTTCAACGATGTTGCTTATATGTCGCTGTATGTTCATAACCAAACGATAAACGACCAGTCGGCTGACAAAACGCGAAAAATATACGACACATTTTTTTAATAGAGAGCACAACACAAAAAATCACGGCAGATACAGCCGACGCATTTTTATTTAGTGTGAACGGTCCCGAACCACAAAAATGGATCCGGATTCGGAACTGTTTTATCTCAACTTCGATAACCGGAACCGAACTCGGGCANGCATTTTTATTTAGTGTGAACGGTCCCGAACCACAAAAATGGATCCGGATTCGGAACCGTTTTATCTCAACTTCGATAACCGGAACCGAACTCGGGCACGTGGTTCCGGTTCCGGATAATTTTTGGAGCCGCAAGGCTCTACCCAGGTTGATCAAAACGGACTCGTTTACGGTCTGTTTGTCGACGGTAAACGATGTCAAAACGGTATCTTTACGGCAGTAAATAGGCCGTATTTGCCCTTAATACCTGGCGCAGTAATACGGCACCGTAAACGGGACTGAATTTTCATGGTTTACGGCTGTTTGTGCTTCGTACTCTCATAATAATACGGTCGGTATTACTGCGCCAGATATTACAGCAAAATTTCGCCCGTAAAATAGTCGTAAAGTAACCGTTAATGGCCGTATACGGACCGTACTGTTTGACCTGGTTAGACTCCCATCCCATTATCCCACGCGGATCTCTATCGTATACTACATTTATCTAGAGACTGTTCTTTTAATGGATACTTCGAGACTTAGAAAACGTGCAGTGTATCAAATTGACAACGATATCATGAAGAGTTTTATGTTTATCTAATTGTGCTGAAAAAATCATTCAGCAGAATTTTTCTGAATTATTTTCATAAGTTCGAGTACAACTAGAGTTAAGAAAAATAAATATTGTGACATGATTGATACACTCACATTCGAAATTAAAATCAACATATTTTATATTAAATTCTTCAGATTTATTCTGACTCATCTATTAAGTTCGAATTGGAAATGTAGAACGAACTAATTGATTGCCAACTCCTTTATTACTAAAGATTAAAATAAAAAGTGTTGAAGCTATAAACTACTGATGTGTTGAAGTTGATGATAAATTCTATTTAGTTGATTTTTTTTCTTGATATTTAATCATTGACATTCGCCCTAATTAGATTTGCAAGTCTTTCGCTGTTATTATGAACAGATAATAGACCTTTTGAAAATTTCCGCACATAGTATTACAAAATGCTTACTTGTCAATGAATATATCGACTTAAACTTCTATTCATCAATGTGTAATTTAGCATTCATTGACTAACGAACAATATTAATCTTTAAAAATTTGACGAGTTGAATTGCACTTGTGCCGATATTGATGGCACGCTTCGATGATTCACCTTCCTTCTCTTTCTGTTCTCTTTCCATTGTTCTAATGTATCTCTCTCCTGTCTCTCTTCTATATATACATGCGTCATGTATGAAATTGGGACACTCTGGAGATGTCAGATGACACAATACACCATCATGCCGACGGGCATAGGCGACACTCTAGTTTTGTCATTACACTTTGGATAACGTAAAGTAGCCTAATAAACATCTTTGCCGAGAGTGGCACAAGCTAATCCAATTTAGTTGTTCGTTACAACACTCATAGACATTCTACAAAACTATGGTTTGAGAAGTAGACTCTTCTTAGTCAAAGATGTGGGATGGAAAGCAAATTCAGACAGCATAAGTATCTTGTTGAGTATTAACCGTTTATCTCGTCAAATTAAAAGAAAAGCGGTTAGTTTGAGCTGGCATTAGTTGTTATGTCGGTGTCTTTTCTTGAGAAAGTCATTAAGCCAATGGAAAAGATATTAATTATATTCTTTTTTCTAAAGATATAAAAAAATTTAGTTTTATATGAATTGGGCATCTCTAGAAAAAACAAATTTTCATAATAAAACTCGCCTACTTGTATTGCATTTCGAGATCTATCAATGATTTAAATAGTTGTATCGTATCTATTGATTCGGTGCATTTCTAAATGTCATAAAGCTCGTTTTTGTCTATGAATATGATTCTCTTAATGAACTGATCACGAAAGTCAAGTATATATAATCTTTTAATTGTCTTCATCAATTTTCATAAAAATCGATAGGAAGGAAATAGATTTTCTCATTTTGCGTTATAACAAAATTAAAAACAAAAATCAGAGGAATCAAAGTCGATGTAGCCAAAAGATGAAAGCTGTCAATATCTTATTTTCTTTTGCCATGAATTCTATCATCAGGTCATACTCAAGGTTACGTAGGCCTCTGTCAAGTTTTTCCTTGAGAATACAATCTCAATAGAAAAAAAAATAGAAAAAGATAGTTTATGTAGATGAATGTGTCAAGATAGAAACGTCATCGAATAAATACAACAAAACGAAATGATAAGATAAGTTGTTTAAACCGAAAGAAGGTCAACATAAAAGTATACTCATCGACACAATATGTTACTTATAAAGCAGAAGAAGATTTTCTTTCTGCACTTGAAATTTGCATTGATTATAATGAAATCGGTTCGTTTTTCTTCCTGTGTTACATTACACAAAAAAAGAAACACGAGTCATATACGTAACCAGACAGGCAAACAGTAGTCATGCATTTTTTGACATATATTCTCATTTTATTATACTTTTCTTAGTAATATAATATGAAATAAAACATAGGAAAAATTTCTTAATCTATTTTTGTAGATATTAAATCTACTGATCTTAATCATTACAAGTGACTTATTTATTATCAATATCATTCGGTTTTTAACTTGAATTTTACTTATTACAATTTAGTTCTGTCTATCATGTGGAATAATTGTAGGTTCCAAACCTTTCTAGAAATTCTGCTCTTTTCGTCATATAAAAATGTCAATACAATATATTGTGCATCAATAGAACTTAAGTGAGAGCAATAGAAATATAAAACGAATCGTGTTTATGAGTTTATCCTTATCAAATTATGATCAGTTTGCCCATTTTCCACTCCCGACATAAACTAATCATATAAGCTTGACTCATGAGCTTCAAACATTTAAATCGTTTCCCCTAGACGAGATGATTGCAATAATACAAAGAAACGTATTTCTCAATATACCGGCAATATCTCGTAAAGGATTGTGATCTGAAAATTTTCAAATGTATTCTTCATACCTCAAAATTGATCGATAAATAAAATATCGTGTCAGGGACTTGTAAAAACCATTTTTTTATTTCTACTGTACTGAAAAGGCATAAATTCAATTACGGCATCTTCAATTCAACTAGACAAGATATAATCACATTAAGTTTAATGGGAATAACCAACAATCCTATCAGTGCGTTCAACTGAACAAATATTCTGTCATACCATAATCCTTGTTTTTGTGCACTCAAAAAATGAATACACTCTAAATTTGGCCAGTGTGTCCCGACCGTTCGTTAACATGATAACTTCGGAAAGCCTCATTCAATTGCCATGAAATTCTGTACACAGAATAATCTCATCAATATCTCACTCGAGTTCGAAGATGAGAAGGATCCATTAAGAAATGGCTGAGTTATCAAAACAATTGTCATTATTGACCAGACCATCCCTGAGGGGTGGGGTACAGGGATTTTTTCAAAAAAGCAATTTTTTTTCAGAATTATTCACAACATATATAAATCTACTCAGTTGTTAACGCTGATTCCAGAGCTGATATTAATTTTGAATCAAACCGTAGCTTTATAACAAAACATCGCCTAAAAAAGGTCTCAAAATCCACGAAAACTGCATCTAGAAACCAAACTGCCTAGATATGTCTCAGATGACCAGTAGTTTTGATGTTTTCCAAATACCTGGTTTTGTAGCTACGCAAAAAGACTATCGAAAAGTGAAAACCCGAACTCGATAGCTATTGATATTGGTGATTTATTAGAAAAATACTGATGCCTGTATCTATCATATATCTCTTATAGATTCATGAGGTTGCTTACGATCGTAACCCCGCTAGATACAAACGCGAATCCATTCAAAAGTAACTCTTCTTATCCAGTTTTCCAAGCAGAAAACGAATCTGAACTCAATTTCTGCGATATCTAAAGATATTATATCACTCTGAGAGTAGAATCAGTGGTCACCGGATAGGATCGCATACAGTGTGGTTCATGCTAACTTAACACGCCTGTATTTTCTCCATGTAATTTAGTAACAAGGGATGTATCTTGGTGAGATCAAATGTCTTATAGAGTAAATGCGAAAACCTCGGATTTAAATCCTAGTTTTATGTGTATTTCAGAAAGTGAAAAGGCATATTCACTTTGCTTTTTATTTTTTTAGATAGTTTAATCAAAATCAATATGGCATCCATTAGTTTTACCTTTTGAAGTACACATAACACTCGGATTTAAATCCGATGTTTCCGCATTTGTTTAGGGTCGTTTTAAAAATAAACTATTCAAAAATATCTGAGCATTTTCTATTTTTTTAAGACAACAGGATAGAATATGTCAATTATCAAGACAATACTTGTATCTCTCTATGATTATACCATCTACTATAATTAACTGACATTAGTAGTTCTCTAAATAATAGTATTATTATTACAAACAGACAAAGATGAACGTAAATAATTCAATATAAAATATAAAATATAACAGAATAAATATTCTTTCTAAGATAAATTTAATTTCACTATTGATTAGTTCCTACGATAAAGTTCTTTTCTTAGAAAAAAATATAAATTATTAGTTTTAATCTTCTATTACAGTTTGTACTAAAAGGTCAACATGACCTATGATGATTGGTATAAGAAAATATAAACATGAAAAATAATACATTCAATACATATATGAATATTCTACTCGACATCGGTTATAACGGGAAAGAAAAACAAACGAATATTGTATTGCTAGAAGAAACTCGGTTGAAACTATTCATTTGAATATTATTTTGTAAAAAAAATAAAAATTCTCGATCGTATATTATTTTCTTTTGCTTTATACAAACACAAACATGAGAATCAAGCAACGAGGTTTAAATTTCTTTCGGTATTCATTCAAATAAAATAATAAAATTTTCAAATTGTAGACATACATATCAGCATTTATCTATTTATTTTATTTATAAAAGAAGTCTACTCATGTATCTGTTCAAGAAAAAAAAACAAAGCGAAAACATGTTTCATTAAAACAAAAGAATATTCGAGATAAATTTTAATTACATCTACAGCTGAAAATAAAAATATCGATTTTAATTAAACATTTGCAGGCATAGAGTGCGATATAATTAAATTTTTCTTTCTTGAATCTATAGAATTGTTATTTATGTATGTTGACCATCGATAAGTTGAATTCATTGTTGATCGTCGTTTTGATAATGTAAAATTTTCTGATAGTAAACGTATTGCAGCATGACGTGAGTGAAAATGAGCTGGTAATGGTCTACAAAATAGAAAGTATTCGCTGACTTCTCGGAATTTTCTATCGAAAAATGCATAAAGAATAAATGTCGCCGATGCATTTATAACTGATAGAAGATTATTGATAACTAAATATTGTCTAGCAAGTAGGTTCTTCATTAGAGTTGCTCCAGACCATGAGTATAGTACATTAAATACGAAATAGGGTATTTGTGTCAACAGAAATAAAAATACAATCGATAAAAGTAAGAAATTCATAGCATTTGACGAACGATTTGTTTTCAATGAAGTTCCTAATAAACGTTTTCGTTTTTCTATTAAATATAAATTTTTAATAATCAATATTTTACATATTAATATTATTGACAAGGGTAAGAGAAAAACAAAAATAAAATACAAGTATTTACGCATTATTAAACGAAATAAACGATGAGATCCAAATCTTGATACTCTTATATTAGTTCGATTGTATTCTTTGATTAATGTAAATTCAAACCAAAATGGTATACAATATAGCATACTAAATACACATATACTAAACACGACACATATGGCCAATTTAGGACTACGCCATTTTCGACTACAAAATGGTAAACAAATAAGAATGAATCGATCGAAAGCTACTGCTGCTGTTAAATATATTTGAATTAATAAACATGTAACATGTATTGGAAACATTCGAGTAAATATCAAACAATAAAAAACTTCAGCACGAAATGTAGCACGTATACCATGCGTCAGAAGAAACCCGACTAAAACAAATGACGATGCGCACGATAAAGCAAATATATAGATATTGGTTATAGATGTTCGCATGAATCGACTCGATAATACTATACATGTTAATGCATTGCCTAATAGTCCACATATACACACAATAGATAATAGATAACCTTCAACAATACGTTTAAAGTCCGCAAGACGCCGTTCATCGAATCCATTTGTTGAATTATTCATTATTTTCGGTCAATACTTGGAATAGTAAAATAAGAGTTATAACGATACAAAGTTTACACGTTCTTTTTTTTTGAAGAAAAAGCAAACTCATGAAAAATTGTTTCCTGTTGTCACACTAATGAAGAAGAAAAAGATGAATGACTTCTTTCGGTCATATCTTACTGTTGTCATGTTCTACTGAAGTTCACTTGAATTAGCATAACGAATTTATTTTGAAAGACATCGCTACTTCTATGGACTTGCCTACACGCCATCTGTTTCTTGCTTAGGTAGGCATGTACTTTTCTCCGTGATTTGCATCATCCGAGACCCTGCACCGATTCGATAATATAGATTTTTGTTTTTATTCTCTTAGATCTCTCGACGCAATAATCCTCATAGGACTGATTCTCTAACTATAGAAATCTATTTCAACATATTATAAATGCATCTTCATGCTAATGCAAAACACTATTACACAACAAAGAATAGGCTCTTTATTACTCACTTCTTTAAAATATGTATAACACTATTGTGAGCTTATCCAATCGAAGAACAACGAACTGATCGTCTTATTATTCGCATCAACATCAATAGACCACAGTTGAGTGCTACGATTTTTTTCTGTTCGTTTATAATGCAACGCTATATGGTAAATGATTTCTCTCATCTCAAAACCATAAGCGAAAAAGAAATAGAGAGACAAGAAAAAAGAAAGAAAAAAAAGAACGTCGATTACATTATGATACCAGCAAATACAGTATTGATGTAGTTGTGCCTTCAATTGACTTCAATTGACTTCAATTGATTTCTAAGGACTTTTCTGCATTGATCAGTTAGGTCACGATCTCCTAAGTAGAACAATCCAGTAGGATAGACAATGGTAGTTATAAAAAAAAGTAGCTGGGAGTTCAGCGACAGATATAAATAGAACTAACAAAATAGTTCTTTTTTTTTAGTGAAGAAAAATTCTATTCATTAGTTATTCCAGATTTTTCTGTGTTTTGTTTATTTATGCGCATGACAATTTTCGGGCTAATACAGAGTACTGAATTGAAAATGCATGCCAGTTGAATAACTCGATTTTCATTATATAGAGATAGACGAAATCCCTTGGTATATTTTCAGACTATTTAAGCTTCTAAACTTAGATTAATGCTTGAATGCCTCATTAGTTGTTGAGTGAAGACATAGTCATAATAAGTTCTTTTGTTAAACACTTCATGGTTGTCGTTTATTTGTTTGTTGCAGACATCAATTTATCCTTTTATTTTTCTAGGGCAAATTAATAGATTCGATTTACATGTTTATATAGAATCTTAGAACATCAAAAGCCAACATATTTTATTTTTCAATATCGACTACAATATTTTCTGGAATATAACAAAGATAAATAAATTTTTATTGAAAAAAATACTATTGATTGCGATATTTTAAAGATTTATTTCCTTTATTTTAATGTGCATATGCAAGCATAGAAAATAGATATTCGATCCAGTAAAGCTGATCGTTATCACATTGTTAAAAGAAATCAAAAATCAAAACACAAACGATTTAAAAGTAAATCAATGCACAGGAAAAAGAAACAAATATATGTTTGAAGAAAAAATAATAGGAACCCAAGAAGACGACATAGTAATACAATCTATGATCGTCTGCATGCACAGTTTTACCTCTCAAAAGCACGTAGCAAAAAAAAAGAGCTGAAAAAACAACAAGCAACAGAAGTAGAGATACTTTTTTTCTCGAATCAATAACATAAATGAATGCACAAATATTAACAAACAAGGGGAAAAACCTGAAGAACAAAATCTAGACATATTCTCAAGGAAAAAAAATATATACAATAAAAGAGAAAACATGGAGGAATCGTGTTACCATAAGATCAACACATTATGTTTAGCATGAAGAACGAACTTGAATCGCATATGCATAATATGTATATATATATATATATATAGAACTGTATGTCTTCATCGTCTTAAATAAGATAAAATGGATCAATATGACATTCGGAAAACTAGCACATTCTTCAAGTTTCTAATACTACAAGCGATTGTATACTATTGATATTTTTCTCCCATTAACAGTTATTCTATCTCTATTAGATTATAATAAGGGAAATTCTTGTTCTCGTTCTTCTTCCATATGCAGTCTATATGATCCGAAACTATTTTTTCGGTTTATTCGGCTAATGAAATGTATTTCTCACTAGATTTAACGCTACTTGAAATGAACTTTTCTCTACAAATCAACCGGTACTATTAGGATCACTCAATTCATTTTGCGTGCGCAAAAGGTACGAAAATATCGAGAACTTTTGAAGTTTGAAATCTAAAATAATAATTGGACTGTCTCATGTTTCCATTATATAATCAGAGCAATTGCATGAACATAAAAATGCATTGATAGTTAGATAAGCATATCTTGATTTTTAAAATTTTAGGTGTTATTGAAACTATTACGATTGGATTTTCAACACTTTTTTTATTTCCAAAACTATCGATTCATGCACAGAAATTGGATCGGAATAGGTAAATAAAGAACAAGTTTGCTTATCGTCATCACAAAATTTGACTCAAATTTCCATCTGATGCCTATTGTGTTTTTCGTTACTTGATATATGACCTTTCGAAAAATATTAATTGAATTGGACTCGGCAATAGTTCAAGTAGCTTCTATTGTCTACATATTTAATAGAAAATACTTTTGAATCTGTTTGGTTTATCGTCTATATTTCCTCTAGAATAGTACGACTATTAGTTTGTATACTATCTGCTATTGTATAGTCTTACACAATGGACACAATCATTCATAGAATAAATGCCATTCACCCATACAAACAATTCATAGGCACATAACTCGGAAAATCTTGCAGTTTGAACAAGAAACATTCAGTTGAGTGGGTGTAGAAGTCATTTGATGAAAATAGTTTATTTATGCAATATGAATATCATATTAGAAACTTCAAAAATTATAGTCTAGAATGAGAATCTTAAAGGATATACATGAATTTATATTGCAGAATCATCCGATTCCATTGATATCTTATCTTTAGTCACAAGAACAATTATGTATGTTGCTCTGAGTTGCTTTTTAAGCGATAAGTGCAAGAGATATACGTTCAATTTCTTCCCGACAACAAAATGCCAATAACCTTTGTTTTCATATTTTTGGGTCAAAGCATATGTAACTATTTCTACCTTAACGAGCCACCTTTCCGGCAGGAACTTAATAAAAATTTACGGTTTCGAATGTTGCATTTAATTATCTCTATTGATTATTAGTTTTCATCAGTGCACTGTTCTATTGCATTTCGCGGAGGGTGTCATTAAAAATATATCATAATCAATATTACAAAAGTTAATGCGTAGTTGACACACTCAAGTGGAACTCACGCGATTCCCAACGAAGTTCAGAATAAATTAGTAGAAGAAGCACCTATATGTCAACCATAATTTGACACTCGTAATACTGAATAAACCTTAATTTACTTTTGTTGATAGAACGCTCTTTATGGGAAAATTTCTCGAATAATATGCTTCACTAACATTATGCTTAGTGATTCACTAGATGATTTCTCAATACATTAACTCTACAATTGAATGATGTAATTTTTTTTCTTCTTATTACCTTTCGAAAACATCCAAAACATAATTCCATCCTTGATTATTATCCCAAAATTCTCGCGACATAGATTTTAAACAGATAGCAAATAAAATTCTTTTTGGTTCCACTGCACCATCATTCGATTTCGATAGAACTATTTGAAATGTAAATGAATCCGTATTATCAACTGGAAAATTCATTGAATGTGATGCCACAATATCATTAGATGTTTGCCATTCATTTTCAGTTAAACGAATATATACAAATTTCTCATAACTACAATTGTGAACACGAACTGTACCATATGCAGTCGAGTCTTTTGTATATAAACATTCAAGCATAACTTGTTTTTCGTAGATTAATGGAATTATATTGGTTGGAGACGTAAATTGTTTTGAAACAAGATTATATTGTTTTCCTGATGAACACAATGATGATGATGGCGAAGATTTATACATATTAGGTATACCTAGTTGGTTTTGTTCAAGACGCAATTGACCTAATTGAAGGCGAAGACATTCTTGCATAGGTGGTACTTGCGATTGATCTGGTGGGCTCATATACCGAATAGATTCGAGATCGAGACCCTTAAAAAGATATTTTATAGAAATTAATTCTTTTGTTTTTAATTATTTCGAAAGTATCCTCGAATTGCAATACCTAGTTAAACTGTATTTTAAGACTGATTGATTTCTACTATGATATAATTACGAACGTACTATAAATAAATGCAAGGTCATTTTAATCTAAAATCGAAACGAGTAGCCTTCATATGTAACGAATAGTATGCTAGTTGATCATATTTTTTGTTTTTCTTTTCGTTCTGATAAGTAGGGGGTGTTAGTGTTCGTGTAACAAAGAAAGTATTTGCATGCTGTGAATTATTGTTGCATGGAAATATACTATTTGCCTCAAGGCACTGTTATTACAAAACAAGTTCAAAGAGAACTTTGAAATTCATTTTTACTTTGATTAAAGATAAATTAATAGAAATATATGAAATGCCAACAGTAATTTCTTTCTCTTTTATTGATATGCGATTACGTAAGATGCAATAAACTGATTAAATAATATGTATTTGTTTTAAATATTTTGTAATGAATTGTTTTGAAAGGGGAATTCGCAAATTTTTCGTGTCAAATCAGCATTGTTTTTGGCCGAAACATTTTAAAAACAAATAGAAATACGTTCCCACAACGCTTAATGATCAAAATTACTATATGATGCTGAGAATTTAATTGTTTCATTTTAAATCTTGTATTCAACTTTCAGATCGTAGAAAATATTTCACAAACACACAAAATCTAATCAAATTGATTATCGTAGTTTCTATTTTCAACGAGGAAGTTTAATTTATTTTGAAAACACAGTTAGAAAAGAGTAAAATTACTATTTATTGTAGGGATGTGAATTTATTGTTATTGTTATTAATAACAGATAAATAACAAATAACTCTTTTTTTCTAAAAAGAAAAGATTCTGCCTCAGCTCGCTGAATATTTTAATTGTGTCCGTTATATGAGCTTATACTACAGAGCAAATTTTTAACTTCAATAGTGCTAATTCGCATGGTATAACCAATATAAACAATGGACTGAGTTTTCAGAAAAGAAAAGTTATTTATTATTTGTCTGTTATTTATAACAAATAACTGTCGAAAAAAGTTATTGTTATTTATAAGAATAACAGAAAAAGTTATTGTTATTGTTATCAATAACAACAAGATAACAATAACTTCTCACTCTTAATTTATTGTTATCATTGGATAGGGTTGTTATTTTAAATATCATAACAGGGCTTTTCGAATCATACTGCAATGTTTGAATTCGAGAAAGTCTAGTTGATAGAATTTCTTTTTCAAAAACACTATCCTCAGCTAATATTATAAGTATCTTTAGATTGGTTGAAAGTCGGAATGTGAGTTTGAAAGTAGTTAACTTACGTCCGTTAACGAAGATGGCGACTCTTCATGTGAGACTCGTTCACTTCTTCTAACATTTCTAGTAATTATTTGAAGGAGTTCATTTTTATTTTTAAGACTTCTTAACTGTTAATCATTTTTACCTTGTCTTAGTAGACAAAAAAATAACTTTCATTTTTGGTGAAAGCATATTTCCAAGTGTTCATTCTCTTGAAGCTGAGATACACGATTTTTCAATTGAATTCTATGCTCTATCTCAAGAACACTAAATTTAGAATTTCAACTTGAAACATTTCATACTCCGATGTATTAATGAAAATATTTCGAAACTTTCATATGTTGTTTTGTTTTTCTTACGTTGACATAAGACTATCAAACACTACTATTCAGTCCAATGTCGGTGAAAGACGTAAGGCACGTGTTTGTGTCATAACTTCTGTTAGTTATATGAAATTTTAAATGATTTTAAAGAAAGATATTCATCATTAGAATATTTCGGTAGCTATCAAATTTAAACTCAAGAGTGCTTGAGTACTTCTCTTGTGAACTAACAAGCTTATGTAACGTCCTGTTGACATATGTCGACATAAGAGAATGTGGATACGCAATTATCATTTTTAGACTATGCTCCGTTTATTTCTAAATAAAACCCGTTCTATTTATTAACTAGAACGGTTATTATCGTATGATAATAAACAATTTCGCACCCAACGACCCTTTCTAACTGTGCTTTCACGACGCTAGTTACATTAATCCGTAATTCCACTATTCATCTACACGGAAATCATTAGTTTACATCTCGATTTGTTTAGTGTGATCTTGATATCCTTGTTGTTGATACACTGATTTAATAAAACATCAAACCGTTCTAATTACATACCAATGTGTCTGCAAAACGAACAGCTTTCTTCGGTGCTTTTTCAACAAAAGTTGATTTTCCATCAAGCTGAATAATACTCAATGAATGTGAACGCATACCAAATCCAGTTACTTGTTCATTGTCTTGATCATTTTCGTGATGGTCTGTATAAGCTGAAAATGGATCTTGTGAACATAATGTAAATGTTGAACCATACAGCAATCCATTATTTTGCTGTCTTATAGGATTTGATACTTTTGTATCATTATGATTAGATTCAACATTATAATTAGTAATAGTTGAATTAGAAGATCGATGAAGAAAATCTTCTAATGACTTAAAACGTCCATTGTCTACAGATGACTCGATTAATTCAATTGTATCTAAAAGTAAATCAATACATTCGATAATGTTTAAATATACTTTGTTTTTAGCGTACCAGACGGTTTCTGATTATGGATATAATAATTAAATTCAGCATAATCATTATCATCATCATCATCATCATCATCATCACTGATTTGATCAAATCCGATATTAAAATCAATATCTTCTTCTGAACATATATTTGAAGTAGTTAAGCTACAATGTGCTACTGGATCGGATGAATTCGATTCAAAACTATAATCGGATCTTCCTGACGAATCAACAACAGATGATAACGATGATGAAATTGAATCATTTTCTGAGCAATAGCGTAAACGAGGTTGTAGAAGAGGAAAGTTACTTGATGGCGATCTTTTCAGCATAGATAAAGAATTGTTCTTTGTTGAACTGCATGTTGAATTTTGTAAGTAATGTATCACTTTATCATTACTACACAAATAATTCGTGTTAACATTATCAGTTGGTTTTCCTACTAAAGACATTGATGACATTCAAAATCTGAAATCGAATAAGTATGATTGGTAAACAATAATAGTATGCATCTGATTGCCAGATCGAAGAACGAGAGAAACAACCATGCACCCACATATAGAGATTGTTTACTGTCTACTCGATGACCTTTCTCCTACCGCGATCGATGATGGGTTTAAAAAACCTTCTGACTTATTCATTGATGTAATAGAATTAGTAATAATGAATCATATAAAAAAAAGATGATGTAACGTTGCATCATCGATTTTTAGAAGAAGGTTCTTGCTAGATCGATGTCACGTGTTTCGTTTCTTCAGCAATAGCAGTAGCACGTTTTTGCGGCACATGTAGTCGGCTATGTCGATAAAGAATAGCTGATGAGTTTCATGTACTATTACAATCAAACGATGCATAGAAACGCAAAACGAACGACTAACCTTACATCTTATTTTGTCCCCGTTCATGTACAAAAAAGAAATGAACGATGCACTATGTGAATATCCTTGTCGCTTTTCTGCGTTCTGTTTTTTTTATTGGCTCGACCTATCATTGATCATCTTTTCGTCAACTAAGAACAAATGTTCTTATTTACTGACGCCTGTCTTAGGCCCCAAACAGACCAAAAAGATAAAACAGAATTAACCACTAAATCGTCTCAAAAAGATGACTTAAGTGTGAATTAACCAATCACGTTGCTTAATTCTGTTTTCTTTTTTTTTGGTCTGTTTGGGGTCTTACAGCTTTATAGTAAATTTTCTAATGTCTGATGTCGTTCAAAAATAAAACAATTGATATCAACTATGTTTTGTTGCTCTACAATTCTATTGGGAGTTTCACTATTTATTTTTTTGATTAAAATTAGGCTAATGGCAACAAATTTGGTAGAGTGTTTAATTCATTCATTGTTCATTCTATCAAGAAACCCTGCAGAAATTTAAACGTGTTAGCATTAAAATCAAAGTTTTTTCCACCTGTACAATAGAGGTTCAATATTTTTCTAGAACTTCAATTTTTAGAGAATATGAGTGAAATATTCAGAAGTAAGCTAATGAAATTTCGACGTACTTCAAACAGCAACAAGAATATTGGAAATAATTTTTAATGCAAAATAAGGAGCGGCAACTGTTTTTCTATTGAAATATACATTAAGCAGCAATGTTTTACAATATCTATTTTTAAAAGTGAGTATTTTGATACAAGGAACCCTATTTAATTGAGGTCATTAACTTAATTGATGTTTTAAATAGAGATGCAAAAAATATTGGTCATGCATGAATGATTTTATTTGAAACTCATAATTTCGAGTATCACTCTTAGTTGCTTTTATGATGAAGAAGAAATTCTAACTTGATGCTGTCCAAATTCTACACAGAAACCTTTCAGGCGCCAATTAACAAATGAAATTTTTGTTGCTTGACTTTTCAATCAGTCGTTGTTGTTGTAATTAATAATAATGAGTTTTAGAAAAATTTCTAAATTCTTGAATAAATTTTAACAATAAAATACGGATTCAAAATTAATTGTAAAAATAAATCATAATAATCTTAATGAATTCTCTAAACAATTGCTTTATTTTATAATAAACATTAGTAGGAGAAAAAACACACCAAGATATCGAAATGTGAAAGATAATTGTACATTTATATTCAAATCTGAAAATGCTCAAGATCGCTCTTTATTTTTAATCAATAGTGTTGATGATACTTTTTGATTACAAGCTAACTACTCTAATGAATCCTGACTATAAAATAGTATACCATAGATTTACTTCAGATAAACCTCTTTCATGTGTATAGATTTACGAGTGATCTGAATTAAAGAAATCAATCTGCACTTTTTCAAATTCAATTCTGATGGATTTTCTTCCTATAATGTGTTGAGTAATCTTTTGTAAATCTCATATGTATCAATATTGCTTGACTCTATATCATACGATACTATCAGCGAGCAAATAAGAAGAAAAGCTTAATTTCATGTGAGATTTATTTTATTTATCTTGCTGTATAACACTTCTATCTTGTATGCGTCAAACTGAAGCAAACACGTCTATAATAACAAAAAACAGCTGTCATAGCGATGGTATTGCGAGCAAACAAGCTATATAAAGAATCATACAAGATTTTAAAGGGCGTAATATTTTACAGTTAAAGATCAACGTAAATAAATAAGATATTACTAGTCGAGTTCTTATCGTGGGTACTTTGAGAAATAATGTAGAATAAATTTAAAATGGATCCTGATGCTTGTCGATAAAAGGCACATTGGCAAAAAGAAAACAGATTAATCAAGTTGACTATGGTAGTATAAGTTGATTTTTCGCTTTTGCTTGATCTAATCTCTCTGGTTACTTTTAAAATAATTGTAACTGATTATTAGCTGAAGATAACGCTCTGAACATGATACTACACTGTGTATATATAGCATTAATAATAATAAAAAGAACACTATTGATTTGATGTGGTTGATATTCATCGAAATTTATGACTTAATCTGATCTTGTGGCACATTAGCAAGAATTATTTTCCTCTTCAATTTTAAACATTTTTTTCTGTATTAGTTAAATTACTGCTCGTGCATTATTGTAGTTATTCAACGGTTTTGAAAAACAATGTTGTATTTAGATATTTTCGTGAGTATTCAACTAGTCTTGTATATGCTGAAGTAGCTAAGAGCCATCTACGAAAAATATAGATTCATTTTTTCATCCCACATATAATGTAGTAAACCACACTATTGATCTTTCATGACCAAAATGTTGTAGCCAAAACAATACAATAAACTGTAAAATAAGGAATTTTGTCTATGGATATGCTCTTGTTTGAGGTATCTAACGTACCGATTTGTTGATGTCGGTCACATCCATGAGGAAAGAGCGCCGAGTAACTACTAATTTCTAGCAAGTATATGGTTTTGTATAAATGAAAAACAATGGTTGTCTTATCAATTAGGCGTCTTTTGCAAGGATTCCTATCTAAGTTACAAAATCTTGTTTGAAAAAGCGAAACATTTCTCAGTTGAAATATAGAAAGAGAAGAATATTGACTTATAATTAATCAACTCAGATCGGTCATGTTTTCAAGTTGATCTCGTTAAAAGCGATTGGAAGGATGCGAGAACAAATATAATATCTTATAGGAACAATATCTCCGAGGGCGAATAACATGTCGGCTAGAAATCTGAATAGCTAGCACGCAATGGCCTATTTAAAATTAAGAACAATCAATAGAAAGTAATAGTGATCTTTTTACTTCGCAATGTTGAAAGAGCTTAAGTCAACACAACAGAAACTGAATCTTCATAGGGTTCTAAAAACGATACAGCGATCGGCTTTAATGAAGCTCGTCCGATAAATTCTTGAATGCGCGTAAAGCTATGAGATAAAATAATTTTCAATACGATACAATATTAAAAAATCTAACTTTTGACTCGATTTTGAAAATAAATAGTTCGAACAATGTAAGTACCTGCTCGTTGAAAGTTACCAGTAGTTTTGGCATGGAGTATGGGTAGTATTCATAGTTGAACATATAAGTAAATATAACTAATTGCTACTCTGAATTTTAGAGTACACCCTTTTCTCTAGCAAATATAATAGTAAAAATATCATTCTATGCAACACGATTAAAAATCAACAATCAGAAATATTGTAAAAACTGCGCCGAATACATGATGTAGTATGCGTTCTTCATCTCAGAGGGAAAATATTCTATTTACTTAAGTAAATGCTTTGAGAAAATATTTTACTTTTCATTCAAACGTAGTTAATAACGTCAAATGACTTACAATGAAAATTCTAATGCATCCATCTATTTGATTGAAGAATCTTAAGAATGTTTTCAATTGTTGATGCTACACTCCGTTTAATGTTTTATTTCTCTCCAAATAGGATACACCTGTGTTTATTGTATAGTTTTGATGAAAAGGTTTCCCTTAAGCCTGCTGTTTTTAACACACATGACACTTAACAAATATAATCTAAGGCAATACGTGGGAAGTCAGGCACTGTAAAACAACTGATACGAAATTTCTAATATTTTGGACTGTTTAATCGTCTTACCAACTACACATAAATGTCTACTACCGTCTATGAAATGCTTTGAACTTCTTGTTATAGACTTCAATATTTATTAATAATCATATTTCATCGAAGTTCTAATGGAATATTTTATATATCAGGAGTACTCTACTGTTCTCATTTCAACTTTTCATGCGAATAAAAAGTCATCCAAGTATATTAAATACACCTAAGCATATATTTTGATGAAACATCCTAAAAGCTCGATTATTTTAAATATCAGCAATGATAGTTATCATTCGTATGCAGATCTAAATAGTCATCGAACTAGAAGTTTTATTCTATTTCGACCACAAAGATAATTTTTACACGTAGAAAATTCTCCTCAGAATAGTCATACCTGTGCTGCACTAGTGATGGTAGAGAGTACTTAAAATAAAGCGCTGAAACGAAAGCAGTGATATTTTATAGTATAATAATCAGTTATTCTAGTCAAGTTATTCATGCAAAAATAACCTCTCTTACAGAAGCAATTCAGTCACGACTTGAGTACATGTTCGATAGTTTTTTACCTGCATGTTGATTGTAACAGTCGTATACAGAAGATCAAAGTCCATCAGCTGATGAAACCACCAATGTTCTAATATTAGAACTCTAAAGTAGTTCGCCATTAGCTAAGAAAAATACAACAACGAAATATGTATGTGCGTATTTCTCTGCCTCAAGGTCGAATCAAAATAGATAAATTTTTATTTTGAACATTTTTAATACGAAATAAAACTCAATATACTCGATAGAAAAAGTAAAAAAACAGATGTTTCTTCCCATCTTTTTGTCTTCTGTACTCAATTGCATGATATTCATCTATGTATCACGCGTATACGCATAGACTGAAGGCGTGAAATGCGCTCTTCCTGTGTGACAAGTGGCGCTAGTAACATATTTTATTTTATATCTACGCCTAGAATTATCGAGATAACAGACGCACAAAAACATCGTTGACTTGAATTATTGGGTACAATGGTTGTGTTATATCGGATTGTTATGTCTACAAGTATTTCTTGTAACAAAAACTGTATTTTGCTCATATTTATCTTTTCGAAATCAATTGAATTGGAGAATGAAAGATTTAACATTTCCTTGGCTCTAATACAATAAGAGATAATTATTTTCCGGATGTTTGTTGAATAACAAAAATTGGCACTTTCAACGTATTATATGGCAGATTTTGATTTCAGAAATTTATTGAAAACATATTTTCTAGCAATTATACATGATTTATTCATAGTTTACTTTCAACAAAAAAAAAGAAGTTTATACAGTGGTGAAAATATGATGTTCATTTGAATTTGCAAATACAGGAAACGTTCAAATGTGTTTTGTTGGTAAAATTATTAAAATTTTGAATGAAAAAGAAAATGATGTTGTATTTTCAGACGTAACTTATCTTTGATAAATGAAAAATATTATGTTCTGTTGTGTCTCGCAGATGAAAAGGCTAAACTATTTTTTAATAGAAAAAACAATAACGATGTGATATATATATATATATATATAACTGTTTTATAGAAAACGTAGGCAAAGAAAATATAGAAAAGTGACGCTGAAAGCTAGAATATCTTACTTTTTTTGTCTATATATTTACAATAAATGTGTCTATAGACGGTGAAATCAAATCACATTGATAAGAAACTAATAACAATGAGAAATTACAACATGTAATCAGTGTATATTTTTATCACTGGTATGTCTTCAGTTTTTGATGCTTTCGTTTTTGTGCTTTTTTTCTATCAATTCAATATAAAATATTACTTTTAAAAATATTTGCCTGTTTTTGTTCTGCTTTCAGATGTCGATCGATCGACGAATATTTTTTTTTAAATAAAAGAGAAACAAATATATTCTTTTCTTTATTTAGTCTATTGCGGGTGACCGTACTGTTGAGTTCCATAAGGATTTTGTTGCTGTTGTTGTTGTTGTTGCTGCTGCTGAAAAGAATACCAAGTATTCATTGATGATTGTATCGGATAATTCGGTGATGATGATACTGCCAATGGCATATGAAATGCCGCATTTGGATAATGTACTGAAGGTGCTAATGGCATTTGAGGATAGACGTTTGCATAAGTACTACGATATTGTTGTTGAGAAAAAGGCCCTGTACTATTAGAATTCGGATTAAAGAAAACCGGCCCAGTATTCGATGATCCATTGTTTAAAGCGTATAAATTTGATGCATAACTACTCGGTGTTGAATGGTTTTGAGATGCTGCATGTGACGAACTAGTAGTTTTATTGGATGTCCTTGTGGATGAAAGCGTTGTGGTAGGCAGAGATGCAGTTTTAGTTTTTTCATCGGATGTTGCAACAGCAGATTCAATAATAGGATTATTATTATTATTATTATCATCCTCATCATCTTTAGCTGAACTTTCTTCTTCACCCATTATTCTAAAAGGAAAGATTTTGCTTCGTAGGCAATGAAATTTATGTTATTTAAAAATTACCGTAATCGCGCTAGTCGATACTCTTGTTCTCGTTGTTCATAAGTTTTAATCGGAGGCTTTTTTGATTGTGACGAAGAAGAACTAGTTAAATTTATTGTCTGTGAAGAATTCAGTGAATCTTTTGTTTGATTTCTTGGAATGATTGATATGGTAGGCACCGTTGTTGATGAAGAAGTATTATTAGAAAAAGATGAATTATTATTAGTGGCATTATTCGATACTATTGTTGTTGTATTAGAATTATTTATGTCATTTGTAACAGGAAATTGAGATTGACTTGTTGGTCGTTTAAGAATTCTAATGGGTTTATTTGATTTCATCAAATTATTGTTCGAAGAATTTCCATTCTCATCATTATTAACAGTAGACGATACAGATGACGGTATAGATTCCTTTAAATAGACAATATAAAATTAAATACAATTCCACGAATGAATGATTCTTTTTTTTTCTTCTCCTTGGAATCATGAGACTAGCAGATCACCGTTTCTCTCTTGAATAATTTAGATTTACAATGAGCTTTAGTCTGATAGGGTCTATTTCAGATTTATGTTCTAATTTCAATAACAATATTCTACAAGGATTGTAAATGATAAAATTCCTCAAAGCTTTCTAATAAATACAATAGCAAGATGAAGAAGCGATTCTGAATTACTGGCGTTAACATAGTGTCAACTCTTAAAGACCTATTGACTTCATATTTTGTCTTTCAGTAGACCGGGAACTAAACATTCATTTGTGAGTCTGAGTGGGATTATAGTTGGCGCAGGTGCATAATTTCTTTCCATTCCCATGAATACTTTCACACGCGAACAAATGTGTGAGATTGGAGTTTAAGACAATCTCTTAGGATTATTAGTTATTTTGTTAGCATTGGGATTGGAATTAAAATTGATCCCTCAAATCTCTAATTTGATTATGTCTGCTATCAAACCAGATTAATGCTCATTCAAGTAGATTTTTATAGATAAGATCAACTTTTCACAGAAAACTCAATTAAAACATTTTTCTCTTGAACTTTAACCTATGGAAACATCTCGTGACCACTTTAAAATCCTAACAATTTCAGTTCAAATTAATTGTTATATATCACAAGACAAATCATTGCATCTATTTGTCTCAGAAAATATTAAATTTATTTGTATTGATTTTTTTAATGAGCATTTGACTAGTTATGAAGTATATCTATGAGTAAAATTTCAAATAAATATTCTATAGTTGAATAGCGGGCCCAGAGGCTGAGAACAGAAATACGGTCATAATGCATTTTTGCAAGGGAGAAACGGCGGAATTTTGGACTTGAAGTTACTTTGAGCTACGTTAAGCTACTGCAAGTAATTTACTTTCATCTACTTTTCAACTTCACATTTACTTGAAGTTATCTGAAGTTACCTGTTCCAGCTTTGTGCTACTTGAGTGATACTTGGAGCTACTTCATGTCCGCTGTTTCTCCCTTACATTTTTGCGTAATTTATATACCCGTGTCTGTTTTAGCTTCTTTTTAGCTTCACTAATTCGTAATCAGATACGGATCCGATATTTTCCCCTTACGGCACTGACATGTCTCTAGTAAATAAAAAGATTAAATCTAAAAATTACTTGCTTAGCAGCCCGATCTTGTTCTTGTTGTTCAAGTCTTTTATCAAATTCTCCTGTATCAACAGCAACTTCCCAATCGTCATTATCATTGCCCACTGTTGTTATCACTATATCAACCATAATAAATAAACAAATCGTAATATTACCAAAAAGACAAAGAAAAAACCACAATATCGGTTTTGTTCTATTTAAGCAAACATTAAAATAGATAATCTGACAATAGGACGATGATAATAAAATCTATAATTAAAAAAAAAAGAAAAGAATGAACATTATAATAAAAGATTTATGTTGATGTTTTTTTTTTTTGCAAATGTAAGCTGAAAAAAATGTATTACACACGCACACGCACACACACGCAACAAATGCAGATGATCACACAAGCCACACGGACAGTAACAGATCTTAATGAATTTTTTTGTTGTTTTGTTTTGATTTTTCTCTTCAAGTAAAAAGACAGAATTGATTATTGAATTGTTCGATCAAAGTAGACAGAATCTTTTTCTTTTAAGGTATGAGAAGGAAGAAGAAAAAAAGGAAGAACTAAGTCTTTTGGCTTCGCCTATTCGAGCAAAAAAAAAGAAAAGAGGAAGAGGAACAAAGCATGGCGTCTATATGTGCGTAGAAAAATACAAGCGAAAAAGAAGAAAAAGACATGTGATGACGTACATTAAAAAGGAAAAAACAAACACGAACCCTAAGAGAGAAGTTAAATTTCACTTAATTATTTCTTCTCAACTTGATTTTTTTTGTATCTTTGATTCTGTACAAAAAAATTCTTTTGGCTAGACAAATTCATAGAAAGTATTGAGTGTTCTTATCGTTTCGAATGCGCTAATTGTGGACGCTTCATTTACTGAGCATTCGGATTTGTTTCTGTTGCAGAGCTTAGAAAATCATTCGGTCGTTTATGTTTTTCTAATGCATTTAATGTTGAATAATCATGAGGCAGTTCACTCTTGCGTCTTATCATTGGTTTGCCTTTTTGCATTGTACGACTTGCCTAAAATGAAAAGTAAAAAAATGTTTAATTCCCACGTTGATATAAATGAAGGTTTTTTTAGAACTATTCTATAGAGAGACTGTACGAAGAGAAAGATTTAATCAATCATAAAATCTACCGTGGAAATCTTACAGACGTTAAAAAATATTTTATTTATAATGTGCGATATACGCCTTAGCAATAAACCTTAATCTTTGTGACATGACACTTTAGGAAGTCACTCTCACGAACTGTGATTCATAAACGAATACAGTTTGTCTTAGTAGAGGTTGTATTAGCTTGTATGTCTGTAAGCGGTGCAGAAAAATCACGACGCACGAAAATGCTCTGGAATACATAGAATAAAACAATAACCTTGAGAATAGTAACAACAGCTAATCTATCTTCGATATTTTAATTCTATAGAAGTTATGCTCAGAATTTGGTAGTGATATTTTAATATTGAAAGATATCATCTTATTAAGTATCTCTGAAGAAATTTATTTCACTGATAGTATCAAAGACCAATAAAAATATGAAATATAGGCAATCAATGTTATTCAAATCAGAAAAACCATATAAGCGTAATTGAAAATGTTGATGAATGATTGCCTACCAATTTATTTACCGTTCCCAACGTAAACACGATTTTCGTAGTGATAGGAACGATCAGTCCTATTCTTCACACTCTAACATTTCAGTAGGCAAATGTCGAGTTAGAACTCACATTATTCTTGCACAATGAGTTTTGGCTTTTGAATCAAAGCGTAGATTACATATAATAATAATAATAATAATAATAATAATAATAATAGTTGTTCATCAGAATCAAAACTAGATTTCGACATTAAATGGCATTTTAAAAGAATAATCTTTTCTATCAATCTGCGTATCTGATTAATTTCACTAGTTCAACGGCTAGTTTTCCTGGCAGTTGTGACTCCAGTCATATTTCATTAGTACGTTACTAAGCCGTTATTTTTACGCACAAGATAATTAATAGATCTATTAATACCGTTATTCGATACATTCTTTTATGAAACACTAAGTAGATTGTTATGATAGAAAGGTAGAAGCATGGACCTACCCACGCCAGTCCCTAACAAACATCACTGACATTGCCAATATACTATGACAGACCCAATATCAATAACATGTTGTTATGATATGCGAGTTGCTTTCTTATTGCATTTGTGAAGGATTAAGCTAGAGGTCGTTGATGAATTTTATCCCAAAATAGATAGAATACAAAATTCGTCTCAAGGTTAATAACAGCAACTTTATTGTGTTTCATACTTCTATCTTATAGAGATTGCGTTCACGTCTACGCATGGCTGTATTCAAAATATCTGTAGCAGAATATCATCACATCTCTAAACTATATGATATTGACATGTTACACAACTGTCGCATGCTTCTTGATTGCATATGAAATACAAAGTTTATCAAAGAATCTTTTTCTATGCCTACATAATACTTGTCTTTTATTTTTCCAGAGCTGAAAAGTCACGAAATATTTTTGTAGAATGATAAAAGTCGAAAAAGACAATATTTACTCTCAGATTAACTGATATTTTAGCTGCTACTTCATATATCATGAATATGATTCAAGAAACAAATTAGTTTTTGAATTAAAATAATTTTCAGAATACTCTCATCGTTGAAGTTTGTTGATTTTTCTTCTTAAAGCGGTGGAATTACAGATCATTTAACCGAAGTGATGTTAATTATGAGAAATCGATTCAATTAACATTCAAATTAAGTATCAAGAATACGAATCTTTATATTGATTAGCGACTGTCTATTTCAGAAAGAAATACATCCAGCTATCAGATGCGATTTAGTTACACATTTTGGTGGTGTATCGAATTTTAAAATCTCTAAATGAATTTGAAACTATTTTTTCTTCAGGCAGAATTACGATCGCTGCATTAGATATTCGTTTATACATAGGTTTCATTATCCACTTGATGAACTAAGGATTTCACCTCGAATAAACCTTTTGTCCTCAAGATATCGAATGCATCAGACAGCTCGATTCTATGACATGTCTCATGGCATAGAAATAGTCCCGCTTAGGGGTACTATTGCAGATGAAAATCCCTCAATTTGATTAAAGAGCGGAATCTCCATGATGTGTCATCCTTTATAGCCTCACGGGTACGTTATTGAAAAGAGTATATTTAGATAAGGAACGTTTAAAGTTTATGATATGCTTCCGGTGAGTTATGAATGTTTTACTGAACTTTAGGCATTGGAAAATATCAAGTTTTGCTTTTTAATTTAGCTTGCAGATACAAATAATAATCATGAGATAGTTCTCAAGATGTTGCATTCCATAAAACAACAAACAGCAGCACCGCAATGACTGAGCTTATAAAACTTTCTCATATCTATTAATTTGACTAATTCAAAAATGGAAACTTCTGATGTACGTACTTCTTTCGCTTCTTGTTCAATTTCTTTAGCTGTTATATTTGTAGCTACACCATCATCATCGTCATTATCATTCGGCCGATAAAGTTCAGGTTGATTCGATGCAAAATTTTTATACTAAAAAGTAATTTGATTAAAAACCTATTTATAACGTTAAAATTCAAATTACATTTGGATTTTGTCTAGCTTTTGATTCGATTTTCATCCATGCTGAATCACGATCACGCAATTTTTCTTTTTCCTTTTGTTTTTCAATTTTATATTTTTGAGAACATTCATCAAATAGTTTATGATTCATTTCCATAAATAATTTCAATGCATTGTATATCAAACCATGGATTGTTCTATTTATATGAATAATTATAAATATACGTTTTTCTAAAAACAAAATCATTTTTACTTATTCCAATGAGTTTTCGTATTCCTATATAGAGCTGGAAACATAATTGGTAAAATGACAGCAGCATTTTCAGTTATTAAACTCATTATATATTCATTATTCCAATAATAAAGGGCTCGTTCAGCAACCTAAAACATATGAAAATTTCTCACAGCAACGAAAAATTAAAAAAAGAATTCAAACTTGAAAATGCGGACTTGAAACACATCTCGCCAGTTGTTTGAATAGAGAAACCATGACTTTTTGAAATTCAGCTGGTTCAATCACATCGAGAATTTCTTCTAATTCATTGAGAAACATGACCTCTTTTGGACTATGAGTTTTTGGCCAATATTTTAGTAAGCCTGCTATCACCTATTTTTCAAGATTAAAATTATAAGTGAATGTTTATAATAAGATTAAAATACCGGTTGGGTTAGGCTCGGATCTTTTTCAAGAAATTGCACAATACAGTAAGCCAATTGTGGATGATAAACACTAAGTGTTTTGACTTTGTGCAATGGTAGTAAGACTTTAATTAGAAATACTTTATGTTCTTCTTTTAATGGTAATGCAAATCCATTGATAATACTATGGGGGAAAATAATATTAACTTTTTTTGTTCTTTTCACGATAAGTTGGTTTTACCTTCCAAGGATTTCAAGTAATTCAGCTATACCATTATGTCGTTCAGTTTCGTAGATAAACTAAAAGAAAATAGGTTAGAAATATAGTAGCAACTTTTAAATCATCGTTCTGCTGCATGTTTTACATAATGATCTAACTTTATAATAGATTTTTCTATTTCAATTTACGAATGATTCTTTCTACTCGTTGATAGCCATTATTTTTCTCATTGATAAATTTGGGAGATAGAATGTAGTTTTCTACATAGAACTAAGAAGAAATTTTTGACGAAATTTCTGCTAACGATTAAAATAATTTTAATATGAACTAGATTACAAACAGAACACACGATATTTCCTAAGCTTTTAAAACCCTTTGAATATCTTTTGTGTTTTTAAATAAATGAGACCCAACATGATATATAATTAGAAGATTCGTGCATTTGAACATAATAGAAGCATGCAGATGTTCTAGTATTTTTTCTACAAAAAGTCAAAATAAATATCGGCCAATGTCTTGAAAACTAGGCCTTATCCGATCTGAATTTTCAATTTAATGAGGATCGATCTAATCCGCATGTGATATAAATGGTGTCTGAATGACAGAATATTTCTGCTACTTTTACTATTTTGTGGCAAACACTACTACTAGATATCTTATGTATAATAAATCCTAGCTAATCTAGCACAGCGTTTTAATGATCAATTATTTCAGCACTTCATACTGGTCATAGCAAATTTCAAATAACAACGTAGCCGAGATACAATTACACCAATGATGATAACTTATCGTGACGTAAGTAAATGCTAATGTCAATCATTTCATTAAAGTTGTATTTTACTTCTCGAATGAATTGCAAGGCATGATTCTTTCTACTTCAAGAATTAGCCTTGAAAGTTACGCCTTCCCATGTCGAGCATTCCGACCACCGGATCCCGTAGGATACTCGAGGAAATATGCGAAAAAGTCACCATATCCTGCAGGAAAACACGAGAAATCGCTGGAACATGGAAGCAGTATTATGATCAGAAATACGGCCGGACTTTTCCGGCGGATTCCTGCCAAGTTCCGGTGCTTTCCGGCAGGAATTGATCAGAAATCACCGGAAAATTTTCCAATCGGAATACTGCTTCCACAAAATCAACGGAACTAACCGAAACCGGCCGTTTCCAGGCCGGACTGTTCGACCTGGGTCACTGTCGAAATCGTACGATGTAAACATGTATCTTAATTCTTTTTGTTTCTATTCATATTCGAGGATCTATTTTTTGTTAGAAATAAAACTAATTATATTCTTCTATTGATAAATGGTGAATATTTATATCCAAGAAGAATATTTGTTTTTTTCTGTTTACTTAATATGATATTATTTAATGGGTATTTAACAAAACAAATATTGATTGAATTATGTAAATAATCATTCTCTGTAAATAGCCCGAGTTCTCTTTTTGTGTACTCAAAAAGTGAGTACACTAGATTCGGTCAGTATGTCCGACCGTTAACACGATAACCTTTGAAAGTCTCATCCAATTGTCTTGAAATTTTGTACACAGAATGATCTCATCAATATCTCAGTCGAGTTCCAAGATGAGAAGGATTTATCAAGAAATGGCTGAGTTATCGAAAAAATTGTCATTATTGACCAGACCATCCCTGAGAGGGGCTACAGGGATTTTTTCAAAACAAAAATATTTTTTCTCAGAATTATTCAAAACATATATAATTCGACTCAGTTTTTGAAGTACACATAACAATCGGATGCGAATCTGATGTGTCCTGATTTATTTTTTTATGATTGGTAATAAAAACAACCAAGTTATGTTGTTTTGTAATAAAATATAGATTATTCAAGGTGATCTATTTTGTTACCTTATAAAATGTATTATTGATTTGTTTTCTAATATAAGCACGTAAACCAAGAAATTTGCCATAGATTCGATGGAGAATTGTTTTTAAAAAATCGCGTTCACGAGGATCTTCACTATCGAATAAATCCAGTAGCTAAAAGAAGAATAAAAGTAGAAAAATAAAAGTTTACATTATCAATATTAATTGCATACATTAAGAACAAATTTTTGATCAATGTATCGTTTTCCTGTATTTGGTTGGAAATCTGGCGATTCAAGAAAACGTAAAAAGAAATCATAGACAAGCTGTAAATGAGGCCAAGCAACTTCAAGATTTGGCTCGTCTTCTTCCGGATCGTAATCAGCACCTGTTGGATTACTTATTGGTGGTAATGTTCGAAATAGATTAACACAAAACTGAAAATAACAATAATAAGAGAGGTATCAAATAAAGTTTTGATGAATGTTTACCATTCTAACAGCTTCTGGATAGATAGGATCAGTAATAACACCACGATTTGATGTTATATAATCGATCATTTCATTCAATGCTGCACGTTTTATCTCTTTCCATTTAAGATCCGATAGTGGATCAAGTTGAAAATCAAACACAGTACAGCATTGTTGTAATTTTTGTACAAATAATGATTCACGTTCATGAGCTGCTGCTTCTTTTAATAAAGGCAATTTCACAAGTTCACGATTTTTCGATATATTAAATCGTGAAGAATTTCTTCGATTATCTTTACGAATATTCGGCACACCAGCCATTGGTTGAACTTTAGTTAATAGTGTTTGAGGTGGATGTGACGATGTTAAAGTTGTATCAGATTGTTGGGTTGAATGAGAATTAACTGGACGTGTAGTTGATTTTATTGTTCCACTATTACCAATTGAAGATGTTGTTTTACCAACAGAAGAATCTTTTCCTTTAGACTAGAGAAAATGTTTTCTTAAAACTTTCTTCGTATTCTTATATTATTTTACCTCATCTCCCGTCTTTCCATCTGCGTCATCTTTTCCTTTGGCTTTCGTGACAACAGTGGCCTGCAACATAAAAGAGTTGTCAGTTAATTTTATCTAGGAAATCTTATTTGTACAATATACCTTTTTGGGTTTAGCTTCTTTATCTTTATCCTTTGACGACGATGATGACGATGACGACGGCATTTGTCGTAGATGAGTAAGTGCGTCTGAAAATCGCTTCAGCTCGATAGGTCGAACAATATACGAGGGAAAATAACAGTTGTGTTAATTATTAAGTTTATTCTTTATTGTCGTTTCTGTTTCGTTTTTTATCCTTTTTTTGTTTTTAAACACCCAAAAAACATAGAATTTTATCAACAAATTTTGATCATAACAAATCAATAGAAAAATGAATTTATAGAAGTGTTTCTCATCTAAAAACTTATGATAATCTATGACAAATAAACAACAAAAAACAACAACAAATGAAAAGAAAAGGTGAATTTATTCGTCAATTCCTATCGGACATTTGATTTAGCAAATCATATAAAAGTTATGTTTATACACATAGATTTTACCTTGGTTACGTTTAACTATCCGATCATTTAATGGTGCGAGTAATGGAATAGATCGTTCGTATCTCATAATGACTACGTTGATACTCATCAAATAAGAACACGAGATAAAAATAATGAGTTTCAGTATGCTTCTTTCTTTTAAATATTATCATCACGTTTTACATTGATAATTGATGAAATATGAAAAACCTATCTAGAAATTAATTTTTACCAATTAAATTAATTTTATTTGATAGATTAATAGAAAAAATGTAATAATATGAAAGTAGATGGCGCTCGATCGCTAAGTCCATAGTTTATAAACTTTGAGCGAAAAATGGACATTTTGAATTTTTGGATGTAATTCTAAAAGTTATTTACAAGAGTTCTTTGTGATTGTAGTTTTTTATGGAAAATAAAAAACGAAATTTTTCCTTTCTAATCGAATTATTATAAAGCATGAAGACATTATCTTTACTTAACAAACTAAACATTTTCTAAATGTTCATCTCTGTAAAACCGATAAACTTTCGTTTTCTTTGATAATATATATCCGCTGTTTAAATTTTATTTCATTTTCTACTTTTTTTTTAATCGAAATTCAAATGTAGTGACCTTGAAAAAAAGCAGAACATTCATATGATTTGAAGGAAAAAAACGTTTTCGCTAATTGTACGTATCAATGAATACAAGAATTAGATCAAGAGAAAAGAAAAAGTATTAATAATAGAAGTACAACAACAAAATAGCATACCTAGACGTCTCATCAAATATCGGAAACGAAAGAAAAAAGACAAGCTTAACCTAGATTAATAATTGCAACTACAAAATAATTTAACTTATTAACGTTTTTTTCCTTCTCTATTTATTCTTAGATAATAATGACTCAGAAAAATATTGATGATTTATTTTCTCTATCGTCATCATCGACTCGTTCATCAACTAAACGTTCTCGTGCAAATCCTCTACCTACAAACGATCGTGATGATTTTGATGATATATTTGAAACGAAACGTCGGTGCACCAAAAATAGTAATCACAATAAAACTAAGTCATCAACCGATGTTTTTGATTTTGATACACAATCAACATCAATGAGTACAATGAAAAAACGTGAAAACGATAATTCAATAGGATCATCTGCAATTAAACGCCGTATCAGTGATGATAATGATGATGAAAAAAAAGCTATCGATGAGCTTTTTAATAATAATAAACAAAAAAAGATTCGACCTCAAATAAAACATGAAGAATCAACGGATCTATTGGATATGTTTAAAACAAGAAAAATTACAAATGTTACTCAAACGATAACATCAACTATGGATGGTTTTAAAATTCCGATAACTTCAAAAAATTTAACGACACAAAAAAAAGTGAAAATGTTTTTCGATGATAGTGATCTTGTATCATTACGTGAACAAGTTAAACAACAAAATGATATCGTAGGTTTCATCGTTAGTTCTATTCTGTTAGCGAGAAATGAAAATTATTTTAGAAAGATTACACTCAAATCAAACCCGTGTTGGTTACCGGTGGACAATGGCTATCGAAAGAAGCTGAGACAAAGGTATAGTACAGATTTTTATTTTTTAACAGGCACGGATAGCTAGATGTTTAGTCGAATAGGAAGTAGAAAACTATGGAATAGGCTTATTTTTAAAGACTACCTCGAAATAATCTTATTCGCTATATTTTAAATCAGATTCACTCATGATGGAAGTGCACGGATTGATTAATCTTCTCGAGATTAGATGCGTGCTGTGAAGATCAATTGGCTACGAATATTTTGAATAAAGTTGCAACTACTTAGTTATGTGGACTTGAATTGTACATTTCGGTAGAATTTATGTTGGAATCTCTCTGCCACAAGTGACTTTTGAACTGCAAATATTTGCATTATGTCTCATCTAAGATATGTCTAGAGTAGAAGTTTATCTTTTCATCCTGATAATCTACAATGGTAGATTTTATATTCTTACTTCAGGAAAAAACCTATTTAAAATACTTGAGACTTACAGAATAAACCATACTCGTTGACGTTTGTCTCTATGAAAAGTTGCAAAGCTGACAAGAAACGTTGCTAAAAGATAAGAATGCCATTGATTTGAAACATAAAGTAAAATTAATTACTTCCGCAGCAATAAACTAAAGAACCGAACTATTTCCGGTTGATTCATAACTCATTTGTCTACACATTATGCGCATGATTTCGATTCAAAAATAACTAATCGGTGAGGAAACTTCTCTTGTTTACTTCCTGTTGGAATAGCTTTTTATGGACATTCGTTGAGAAAATTAACACAACAGTTCAATGCATACGCTTGAATTTATGATATAGGGTCCATTAGATGAGTATTTCAGTTTCAATCAATCTAAAAAAATGACTCACAAAATGATCTAATAGGATGAAGCACATTTGAAAGGTTCCTATTAGGGCTAGAGTAATTGAAAATGATTTATGTTTATCACTCGTTGTTTTCTTTGAACCAGAGTGATTGTTGAAAAAGATTTTAGAAAAAACAGTCACGATTTTTTCTTGTTCTAATTCAATTTTCCATTCTGCGCAGGTTGAATACTCAATAAGATTCTTTCATGACAAGAATATAATATTTTCTGTGATATAAGAAATAAAAATATCGCTATCTGAGCTGATAACATATCAGAATATGTAATACACTACAAATAAGTAACTTCATTGAAAGTGATATTCATAAACAGACTACAATCTGACGCTAATTTTACAGAAAAATAGTTTACTACTTTGAAACAATTCATGCATAAGCATATACGTCTTCAGCTCTCCTTTTATAAGCATCCTGTCGATTTTTCAAGATGCAGCCTTCAATGATTAACAGCACGCTCCAGGCTTGATTCACTCTAATAATATTCTTACATTACGGTAAGAATAGTTCGATTCTTCAACAGAATCGTTTTTTCGTTGTAATCGAAATCAAATAGTGTTTGCCTCACTAATATATAATCTTTCGTGTTTTGATAATGAATTTTTTTCCTATTTCTATTTAGTCAACATTCAAAATGAACGAACCATTGAATACTCCAACTATCAGTAGTGATATTCCAGATGACGAACGCAATTTAATGCACATTCAGTATGCATCACTTGTAGTGGACGATGAGTACGAAAATAGTAAAAAATCAAAAAGTAATTCTGTAACATCTAAATTCAATAAACAAACACTTGATGGAAAATCATTTCGTAAAGTAAACTCGAGACAAATGTTTTTTTAGCATTTTACTTTTATTTCTTTTAGCAACATGTTCAATCCGATACCACAATTGTACGAAAAGAAAATTTCCAGAGTTGTTATAATGCTCTTCTTGAAGATCTTAATAAACCACGAATGCCAACAACAACAACATCATCATCATCATTATCATCCAACAAACCAAAAAAAAGTGTAAATTGAAAAATATGAAAATTATACATTCATCTTCTATTTGAATCACTTTGCGCTTTTTTAGGCGAAATCAAAAATTTCTCAGGATATTGAAATTATTCTTAGTGATGAAGAACAAATGGATGCTGTTGACTTTTTTGATTTACCATCACGAACAAAGAAATTTTGACCGTATTATTTTTTTTTTATATTGTATATAGTGGATTAATATTTTGTAGAATATTCATTTTCTTCTTCTTTCATATTCTTCATCATTTTTTTCTCTTTGTAACTTAAAAAAAAGAAGATTTCTGTTAATTGATAGACAAGAAAAGAATTTTTTTATACTATATGTCTGTAAATCACGTTTAAGATTGAAACGAGAGAAAAAAATAAAGAAAGAATATAAATATTTTCGTACTCGAATTTTTTACACATTCTTTGAATGCTCTTTCAAGAAAAAATGGAGCAAGGTTAGTATTAATTAATAATTATAAACATCCAATTACACATTTCTCTTTTCTCAAACATTGCTACCATTTCATTTGTCGAGAATTTCTTTTTTTTTTTTCTATACAAAAATAACAACGAGATGAATCCAAGTTTAGATGACGAACATATTCGATATTTACAATATCGTTTCGATGTAAATCATAGAAATCTTCTGTTAAATAAAAACAAGTAAGCTACTGATGTCGAAGGATTTCTACGAAGAAAGAAAAGAAATATCACTTCTTTTTCTCATGGAAAATGTTGAATATGTTCGTGAGCTCGAAAATATCGAAGAACAAAATAATTAATAACTAGAACTTTATGAAAAGAAGGTTAACTTCAATAGACTATCATACTTTCGAGTTTACAAGAAGGTTTAGTATCTTCTAATGAGATTTACTTGAAGTGCTTTAGACTAACGTAGACACGATACTCGATGCTAAATAGAATGGCCGAGAACTTTTTCTTTGTCTATTACATAAAACGTGTAGTTAGATGCATCTTTATGAAGATCACTTTAAAAGATAGTAACCGATGGAATATTATTTTATTCGACATGAATATGTGTGTATGAAGCTAGAAAAACTCGGCAAGAATTCTTATCTATGGCCTAGTGATAAAAAATAGTGTGTGGTTCTCTCAATTAGAACCAGATATTTCTGAAAATTTCGACTATTGTTTCATCGACACCTATCGATAGTTCTCAAATAAGGTAAAACGACATCTAACAGTTAGATAAGTTCGCTAGTGATTATAAGCACTGGAACAAACAAACAAAGTAATTTTATTTGATGCACCTCTCTTTTGTTTTTATATAATTTACCCGTGTCACTATTTTATTGTGGATTTTTCAATGTGAGAGAAAACAATTCTCAACATATTGTGTTTTGAGATCGGTTTGATTCGTATATGGAATTAATGCGTAACATCGATTATATCCTATTAAATAAATGTGGAAACTTCGGATTTCATCCGAGAGTTATGTGTACTGCAAAAAGTGCATGGAACATATGAGTCATTCTAGAATGTCTGAACACGAAAATTATCATGAGAAACTAGGCAATTTTATTTCTGGATGCAGTTTTTGTGCATTTTGAGACGTTTTTCAGGCGATGTTTCGTTAGAAAGCTACGATTTAATTCAAAACTAATATCAGATTTAGAATCAGCGTTAAAAACTGAGTCGATTTATATATGTTGTGAATAATTCTGAGAAAAATTTACTTTTTGAAAAAAAATCCCTGTATTCCCCCTCAGGGATGATCTGATCGAAAATGACAATTTTTTCGATAACTCAGCCATTTCTTGACGGATCCTTCTCATCTTCGAACTCGGCCGAGATATTGATGAGACAATTCTGTGCACAAAATTTCAGCTCAAGCGAATGTAATTGTGAAGAGTTATCGAATAAACGGCCGGACGGCCGGACACACTGACCGATTCTATAGTGTATTTTTTTTTGAGTACACAAAAATTAGATATTCGATTGAGTAATTATAACAAAACTATTGATGATTTTTAGATATATTTAGTTCAATGAGCAGTTAATTTTATATTTCTATTTTAGGGATGACATCACCAATCGTCGATACAGCATACCTCATATATATTTTCGTAAGGTCATCTATCGACGCCTTTCATCATCATTTGTAAATAATGATTATAATCAATTTCTGTCGTACATCAAATACTGCCTGAAAATTTTTTTCATATGTCTTTTTATTATATCTAGTGCATCATTGATTAAATTCATATGGCGTTTAAAACATAAATGAGAGCAAAACAAATTATCTTTCGATTCCATTAAACATTGAATATTATTCTATTTCGTTTTGGTTGTAATTGTAGTTTGTTTTATAATAAAATGAAAATAAATTATGATCAAGGCTTCATTTAATTTGAATGATCTATGTCACGAAACGAAAATTTTTCATAAAATGAAAATTGATTTTAGTATGTTCGCAATAAAACACGGCGTTAATATCACACTAATAAAACAGTGTGATTTTTGCATATTACGATCAAAAGGTTCATACTCATTTTCTAATACTTTACAATCATTTGATCGCCGTCATGCATGAATCATTCAGAAATCGTTTGAACCATTCAATGATTGAAAAATAGTGATCGTCGCTCTTCTAAAAGGTATCCGAGATTGAACAAGCACACTCGTAAACGACCGTGAGTGATCATTTATTGGCGTATTACATGGCTGACTATTACGATCACATTTCTCCGTAGGTGAGAATGAATAATATAGTTTCCGCTTTCAACTCAGTTTCTCGACGTATAAGGTCGTGTTCCTGTGCATATAATACAAAGACAAACGGTCACAATACTAAGTCGTCTAGTAAAGTAATGTTCGTTTGTTCGTAGTGTGACACGGAGTATAGCTATATAAATTTCGTATTCTTCCTCCATGAATACTGTTTCTCAGTTAATTCGACTCCTATAATATACCGTCGTATTCCTTTTCTTATCGTACACAGTTATCTTTTGTCAATAGATTGTAGCTAATGATGTATTGATAATTTTTAGCCGATTAAAACTCAAAATTGAACTGTTGAGTTTGTTAATTATCAAGACTTGATATAGATAAAAGCCTATAGATAGTACAGTCATCGATATCAATAAGATTATAACTATGATAACTTGTTAGATTATATGTAATGATAAAAAAGTATACTCTCAATGAAAATTTTTTTCTAAAAACAATTATTTTAAACGCTAGTAGATATCTATGATTACTTCAATTATTATCTTATTATTGTTAATCATACATGAATCTATTACTTCTATTCATTTATTAAATACAACATCAGGTATCTATGTTGGTCAGACCGCACATTATCGTGATGTGATTGTTCAACGGTATCTCGGAATTAAATATGGTCGAATTGAAAAACGCTTTGATCATGCAGAACCAATTAGAAAAGAAAATGATACAATTATTGATGCAACATCATTAGGACCTGTATGTAAACCAACAATAGATTCATGTGAAATTACTACACAGGGAGATTTAATGGAAACGACGTGTGGAGTTACGTATGGAATATTTTCTCTAGTATCATCAGCAAATGAAGAATGTCTTTTTTTAAATGTTTACATTCCCATAAATAATAAAACTAATCAAAATAAAAAGGCTATCCTAATGTGGATACATGGCGGTTCTGGTCAAATTGGAACGGGAAATCTTTTCGATGGAACTATTCTTGCGGCTTTAGGAGATATTATTGTCGTAACATTTAATTTTCGTCTGAATCTTTTCGGTTTTCTTTCGTCAGGTGATGAACGTTTATTGGGTAACAATGGTTTATATGATCAATCTATGGTACTCGACTGGATATATGAAAATAGCGAAGCATTAGGTGGTGACATTGAACGTATTACAGTGGGCGGTCATTCGGCGGGTGCACCGCATGCTTATTATCTAGCAATATCACCATTTAATCACGGTCGAATACGTCGTTTAATATTACAAAGTGGTTCTCCATTCAATATTTGGTCGCACATACAAGCTAATCAAGCTATGGAACGATTTAATGTCGTCGCGGACGATAATCAATGTGGATCGATAGACGGTTTCGATGGAAAATTGAATTGTTTACGTGAAAAAGATTATCATCGCATTGCTGAATATGAACATCATACATATACAAGTGCCTATCATACAAATGTTGTTCTTCATGGAGATTATATGAATGAATTTCAATTAGATTTAAATTCGACTGATACATTAGCAGATACTGAAATGCTTATAGGATCTAATGATGACGAAGGTAAGTATTAAAGAATATTTGATCTAAATTTTCAAGATACTTATTTGAAATCGACTCATGTATTCTTAAAACTATCAAAAATACTGCATCAAAAAGTTCTGAAAAATGACCCGCCAATAAAATTCGATCTTTCAACTCTCGCCTTCTCGATTGATGTTCAAGTATCTATTGAAATTATTTTTGATATTGATAGGATACTTATCGATGACGGGTAAAAGAAAAGAAATATGAAAAGCATTTAATAGTATTCAACAAAACGGAACTAGCAGTTAAAGTATCAAACAAGATCAAAGCTCGCATTCATGAATATAAAGTTTCATATCTTTGTTTTGATTCTATTTCTTAAATGAAAATTTTTCTATCCAGGGTTACCGTATTCTTCATGGTAAATCAACGAAAGAAATTTTGTGTTCAAAAACGTCACGTTCTTTTTCTAAATATTTTAGGTGTCTTTGTAGCCATAATACCTATTTTAATAGAACAACAAGATCAAACATCCCTAGAACTCGGCAAAGTGAATTATACTGCTGTTTCACTTAAATTTCTTGCTGTCATGCAACCAAATAAAACATGTCTACATCAACAAGCATTAGAATTGTATGCTTAGATATTCATCTAAACCAAAAGCAAACTGATGTTAAAGGTTTTCTTCTTCTTCTTCTTCTTTATAGGTATCATATTAACCAAGCTCCCGATGATTGTTCCGAATCGCCTGATTGCTATTGTTCGTTATTTTATAATTATTCTCGTCTTATAAGTGATGTTCTATTTTTCAATGATTATTATCGTTTTCTTACCCAACGTGTTCAATATTCTAAGAAAACATTTGCTTACGAATATTCATATCGAACATCTCAAGATCATCAAACATTATGCAATGATTATCTATATAAACATAAACTAGTTGGTCATTTTGCTGAACTTGAATATACATGGGGTACACCATTATTATTCGAAAAAACGAATAGTACAAATAAATTAATCCCATTAATCAACTATATTCTATACGATCAGAATGCTACACATAGTTATACAGATGAACAAATAGCTTTTAGCGAATTGATGATTGAACAATGGTCAAATTTTATCAAAACTGGCCAACCAAATAGTAAAACAAAATTTGAAAATCCATGGATACCGATTGTTAATATTTCCGATGGATTGGTTATGCATTTCACTATGCATCAAAATGAAATGAAAAAATTTGAAATTCCATTAAGTGTACAGTTTTGGATGAATGCATGTTCAACAATAGAAACTTCTAAGAGTATCAATTTAAACGACCAAGCATCAACTCATGAAATATCGTTTACATTATTTTCTTTTACTAGTTTATTCGTTTTATTTATTTTACAAAGTTCTTATGTGATGATGATTTAATTTTTTGTAAATTAATAAAAACAGAAAATAATGATGAAAGACATTGCTAATACAGAGCATGTTCGAAAAGTAATGATTTGACAACAAAATTTCGATTATTCAGTCATCTTATGGAAAATCCTACGAGATACGCTATCTTTCAAGCTGAATAAATTTTTATTTTCTCATTTCACACAATAGAACCAATTCATAGGGGAATAACCAGAGGGAGCTTGGTTAATATGATACCTATAAAGAAGAAGAAGAAGAAGAAAACCTTTAACATCAGTTTTTGTGCATTTTGAGACGTTTTTCNCTAACATGGCTTTGACCAACGACTTAGTCTCCCCCCTAGAATTTTTTTCTGGTGACGCCCCTACCAATTCAATGTATAATTTCATTCTTTTAATAATAACAAAGATTTAATCTTTGCTTTTTAATGATGATAAAGCTAATGGCATGACTGATTGTTTATCTTCGAGTAGAGATCTTTCTTAGAATGGAACTACAGACTTTCCTTGCATATTGGGATAAGCACGAGAGATATTGCCCAGAGAATGGTGAACTATGAGAAAGACACCCACCCTCGAGAAAAATCAAATTATGCGGCTATCTGCATTCTGATTTTTTGGATCCCACTCTGAAGAAAATTATTTCAGAGTTCATTCCTATCGCCTTCAGAACCGTTCATTCGTAGTTTTATTTTTAAATTTATTTTCATGAGAACTAATCATATTTAGATCATCGCTCTTGAATCATAATTTATTAGAGACTTCTCTGCGAAATAAAAGAATAATGTAAACGATTATCTTCGAATCTAGCCATTCGAGAAAATTAAAGTAATCATAAAAGTATAGCATCTATACCAAATTCAACTGATAAATTAGCATAGTGTTGTAATGCTTTGTTTGTTTGTTTTTACAAAAGTTCTAAAAATAATTTTGAAAAGTTAATAAAAAGAAAATGAAAAGAACGAAGTTATGTAACTAACTCATTCACAATAGTTCAAGCCAATTCTATTCCGTGTACAGATAATATGAAACGGTAGTCGTGAACTCTAGTACATAAACAATAGTAGATTGGATTAGGAACAAGGAATTGTATCATTTTTCAAAAAATGGATTGGCATCCACTGGTAGTTCGAATTTAATATCCATCATAAACTTCACACATAAGCCACTTTTTAATGATTAACTTATTATTGTGGGAAAAACATTGAAGCTCAGCACAAAATCGATTAGTCTCACTCCAGTCTAAAAAATAAATATGCATATTAGATTTCATTTTGAGTTGTGACATGAATGCAATCATAATCTATTAAAATCAGAATGACTTATAAATTATATTCTCAATGAACTTTCGTTTCTTATGAAACCTGTTAATTACGCGTTTTGAGATCACAGTTTGGAAAATGCTTTTTACTTAACACGAACCATGAATGGCTATATAGTATGTGTTTACAGAATACTAAAAAGATACAATTAATCAATATTCATCACAGTTCGAACATAGAATAAATGTGACTGCAAATTGTATAAACATTCTATCATATAGATATACGTATATCACACAAAAGTTTGATATATTATGTTGAAAATAGTACAAATAGTCACCTTTATTCCGTCGGAGCCTGAGCCATTCTAACGTATTTTTGCTGTGTGTAGACTCGCTAAATATTTTCACATATTAGACCAATAAACATATTTTTTTTCTCTGTTAGAATGACGCCCTGTTGCAACTAATCCACTGTTCTCGTCAACGTACTTGTCGGTTCTCGATTTCATTGATGTAAAATAACACGAACATTTATTTACTTATTCTGTTGTTAATAACGTTTTTGGCATTATTTATTGCCGTGTAATTTCGCACCGTATACGAACGTTATTTGCTAAATAACGAGCAGCTTGATCGTAAACATTTGACATTAATCTTGACAGAAGTTTCACCGTTTTCTTTCTCGCTTTTTCTGCCAATCTATTCGAACTCCATCGGATTGATAATCAAATACTTGCAATTGCTACAGTATATTTGCTTTCAATTGAAGAACTGAATAAAAATCTCTAAGCCAAGATTACTTCAATGTAGATGAGTTTTTTCTTATTCTGCATAACCTAGTCATATATTGTACTCATTCTAGCCAATCATATTATTTTATGTTATTCGTGCATGTATTTAAAACCTCAACGATTCACTGTGAAGGGCATTAAGGACAAGGAATATTCCCGTTTTCCTTTTTTGTTTTATAGATATGTTTCGTCTTCTAAATCGTCGTGTTATTAAACATGGATTTCTGCTATGTACATCAGCTTTAGGAACTGGTTACCTAGGTCAATATATTCTTCAGGTGAATTGAACTTTTTCATGCCTGTTCACTCATTTGATAATTATTGTAATATTATTGTTCTAGAAAAATAAATTAAATGCAGCCAGTCCTGCATTTCATACACCTGAGATTTGGCAAGATGATTTTCCGTCGCGCGAAGTTCAGATTGATAAAATGTCGAAAGAACCTGAATACGATATTATTGTTATTGGAGGTGGAGCAACAGGTTGTGGAGTAGCTGTCGATGCTGCAAGTCGTGGTACATTCTTTTTAACTTAGAAATTGTCATTCTAAATAAACTTATATTTCTTTCGAATAAGGTCTCAAAGTAGCTTTAGTTGAAAAATATGATTTCGGCAGTGGTACATCATCACGATCAACAAAATTACTTCATGGTGGTGTTCGTTATTTACAAAAAGCCATCATGCAATTCGATCGCGAACAAGTAATCTAAGGAAATTTTAAATAAATAATGAATTCTAATTTTAAAAATTTAGTATCATATGGTAAAAGAAGCCCTCTGTGAACGTGGTAATCTTCTTAAAATAGCTCCACATTTATCTTGTCCATTGCCAATTATGTTACCTGTTTACAAGTAAAAATCTCATTTTGTCTTCAAATCTGTTGATTGACGTATCATTTAGATGGTATCTTTTACCATATTATTATGTTGGTATCAAGCTCTATGATTTTGTATCTGGCCGACAATTACTTCGATGGTCTTATGTAATATCGAAAAATAAAGCATTAGAATTATTTCCAATGTTAAAAAAAGAGAAGCTTGTAGGTGCGATTGTCTATTACGATGGACAACATAATGATGCACGTATGAATATAGCACTAGCATTTACGGCAGCACATATGGGTGCTGCTATTGCAAATCATTGTGCAGTAACAGATTTTATACATGAAAATATTGTAGTTGATAATGATCAAGGACAAAAACAAACAAAAAAAGTTATTCGGGGTGTGAAATGTTTTGATCGATCTCAAAGTATGAAAACATCATCGCTTTTCTTTTCTTTTCTAAACTCTATTGAGCACATTATACGATCTTTGATTTGCAACGCAGATTGTATAGTCGAAGTAAATACTTTGTCATCACTGTTTCTTTCGTCATTTTTGAAAACATTTTAGATTGATTACGATGTCGTTTTGTATAAGCCAATGTTCTAGAGTTTCGAACGATTATTGTGAATCGGTTCTCAAGTTCAGGCATCCTTTTACAAATAGAATCTAGAGTTCAATAGGAAATATTAAATATTATATTTTCCCAGTGGTAGTAGTGGGATAATCTTTGGAAGATCCTAAAAATCAGATCGGATGATTGACGAATAAAATTTTTCTAACCCAAATAAACTCTTTTTTTTTTTCAAAAGTTATAATTGTAATCCTGATGTTAAATTGTTGACGTTTCGTCAAGAGCTTGTTTCTATGTAAAAACATTGTGTGCTTGAAAAGCTCGATTGCTCAACTACGGATAATGTAACGCATCCGTTGTTTGAAAAATCTAATAAATGAATAAATGTTTCAGTTTTTATTTTTGACATCTCAATAGTAACCCTGCAAAATATATGATGCAAAACAATAGTCTCCGAATTATTTTTCATAGTTTAGATCAACGATCTTATCAAGTTTCTATTCGAAACAAGTACAGAATTTGCATCGAAATTCTTCACTGTTGACTTATCAGAAAGATTTTCAACGAAGGCTAATACATGACATTACCGTAATGATTCGAACTTGAACATTTTAATATTCTAAATCAAAACCTTTTTTGAAGATTACAATCTGTAAGAACGTAGATCTGTCTTTAATAAGTATAAAACAATTATAGATTCATACATTTTATCTAAAATGATGTTTAAAAATTAATATTGCAACGATACCTTCATAGTTCATTGAATTGTATATCCTAGATAAGGAATTCAAGATTCGAGCAAAATGCGTTGTCAATGCTACAGGACCCTACACAGATACAGTTAGACTATTAGATGATCCGTCATTACCAAAAATTTGTCAACCATCAGCCGGTGTTCACATTGTATTACCTGATTATTATAGTCCAACCAATATGGGTCTTCTCGATCCAAATACATCCGATGGACGTGTAATATTTTTCTTGCCATGGCAAAAACATACCATGGCTGGTTTGTAATGAATAAAATTTTCTTGGAATTTTCCTTTAAAATGTATTTAATTAGGTACAACTGATACACCTTGCGACGTAACTGATTATCCGTCGCCGTCAACAGAAGATGTAGATTTTATATTAGGTGAAGTAAAAAACTATCTTTCATCAGATGTTCAAGTGCGTCGTGGCGATGTTCTATCAGCATGGTCAGGTATTCGACCACTTGTTCTTAATCCAAATAAAAAAGATACACAATCAATTGCAAGAAATCACATTATTCATGTTAGTGATTCAGGTCTTGTTACAATTGGAGGTAAAACTAATTTATCGGAAAAAGAAAAGTCTTATTGGTTGCCGTGAGAAATAATTTTACTACCTATTGTTGACATTAAGTTGATACGGACGAATATAAATATTCACATTTTCAATATAGCTCACCTATTTAGAATAGTAAGTCATTAGTGAGCTTAGAAAAATTCTAAACGTAACAAGAAGAAATCGTTTGATTATAGTTTTATAAAGAAATGTTTTTTTTTTAAATACTCATGTAAAATCTAACCACACAAAAATTTAGTGTATATTTCATTATATGTTACTCACTTAGAAATTATACTATAATGATGAATAGAACATCATTATGTGATACGTAGAACATAAATTACTTTTCAATTATTTAGAAACGAAGGAGAACTCTGTGCGTGCGTTTAAGCACTCAATTATACATAATTAATGTAATCTGTCTGTAAACTCTATTTAATCTGATTAGAATCGTATTAAATAAATCCTTAATTATATCAGGAGGGAAATGGACCACATATAGACAAATGGCTGAAGAAACAGTTGATCGATGTGTAGAATCAGCCAAGCTAAATCCAAAACGAGATTGTATAACAAAAGGTTTAATGCTTACTGGAGGTGAAAAATGGACGCCTACCTCATACATTCGTCTTGTTCAAGATTACGGTCTTGACACTGAGGTTAATATAAAACTAAAATATCTATTTATTCATTCTGAAATAAAAATAGGTTGCTATTCATCTTTCAAATACATATGGAGATCAAGCCTATAAAGTAGCTGATCTATCGTCATTAACTGGGAAACGATGGCCTGTTGTTGGCAAACGTTTACACGAAGAATTTCCTTATATTGAAGCTGAAATAAGCTATGCTATCAAAGAATATGCTCGTACAGCTGTAGATATTCTTGCTCGGCGAACTCGACTTTCATTTTTAAATGTGATTGCAGCCGACGAAGCTCTTCCTAGTATAATACAGATCATGGGACAAGAATTACATTGGAATGAGCAAAAAAAGAAAGTACAAGAAAGCAAAACTTTTTCTAATCGATTTTATTTGCTTTTGCTTTTGTCTCTTTTTTTGAACAAAAAAAACAGGAGGAAACAGATCGTGCTAAGCGATTTTTATTACGTGAAATGGGTCTTAATTTGAAACGTGATATGCGTCGTGAGGTACCAATTAATTTAACACGTGAAGAAATGAGTTACTACATGAAATATTTTCGTCAAATCGATGTTGAAAACAAAGGCTTTTTAACACTTAAGGATTTAAAACGGCATTTACAAGTAAAATTAGTTGATATAGAAAAAAATGCATCGTCCTTTTTTTATGTATTTAAATATTTTCTAGGTATCAAAAAGTGACGTATCGGAAGCAGAATTTCGAATATTAATGGGTGAAATTGATCAAAATCAAAATGGTATTATTGAAACAGAAGAATTTCTTCAAGTAATTTCAATCGATTTTTTCTATGAATTGCGTAGATGCTTTTTGTTTTCTGTTTTGCAGTTGATGAGTGCAATCAAATCTGGCGCTGTATCAACGAGTCATTTTATTAAAGCGGCGCGTATTGATAAAATCAAACATAACCCATCACCGGAACGAAGTGGTGGTGGTATTTAAATAAGATCGATTGCAATTACTCATTTTTGTGTAATTATCTTGTTATTCTTTTTTCTCTTCTTCTTATTCTTTACTCTACATACGGCATCATCGGTAACAACTACTCAAGCCCACAGACAGGTTTCCACAATCAATCAAGAAAACACTCGTTATATGATTAGTTTATTCATTTCTTCATAAACTACTATCCAGATTCCATCATTTGTCAATTTGAAGGATTTTCAAAGACAAAAACCATATACTTAGCTTGCTTTACTCATGATTTAATTCTACTCTTTAGTAGTCTAGGTTGAATAATGTCTGAAATATTCTATGTAGTCTGCTTTCCTTTTCTTCTTCTTCGTCTTCTTCTTTTTGTTTCTTTTATTACTAGTTCTGCATTTTCTATTAAAATGATTTCCTTTAGTAAGTAAAATATACTTGTACGCAAGAAGATATCATTAAAGAAGACATAATTTGTGTTCTTGTCTTTTTCTTAAATGTATGTCACATTCAGAAAAATGTTGAAATCTTAGATAAGTGCCTGTGTGTGTGTCTACAACTCTTTTTCTCATAATTTTTGGATTATTAAAGTACTTCTTAAAGAGATGAATCACGTGTTAATAACAGATGGAAAGCAAGTTAAGATGCATATGCAACAGATTGTTCTAATGTTTCATGTTGTCTATCATCACAATAGGCCAGTGTTCGATATAACAACACACGCAAATTAGACATTATTCAAGGAGAGAAGAAAAAAGGCAAAGAAAGAAAAAAAAACCAAGAAAAAAAAGAAATCGGGTCGATAGAAAAAAAGAACAAGAAAAAAAGGGCTGAAGTGAGAGAGAATCTGGGCATCATAGGGTGCATTGAAAGAACGAAAGCAATAGTCGACGACGTCGCTTTAGCATCAGCAGCAAGCCTTTCTCGTTTTTCTTTTTTCGAAAAATATTATATATATATATATATATATAAAGTCGCAACCGACTGGTCTCTGTTGTGCTGCCAGACTGCGTCATCGTCTTTGTGTTTCAAAGCAAGAAGAAGAAGAAGAAAAAAAATCTCAGGACAAACGCGCGCGCGCACACGCATACACACAACACATATATATACAAAATACACGCACACGTACACAGGCTTGTCATCATCATCATCGTGTGCTAGTTCGACAAACAAACAACATACAGTTTGTTTGTCATCACCAATCTTCTTCTTTCTTTCTTTTTTACTATTGTCACCAGCTTAGAAAAAAAATAATAAAGAAAAAAAAACAACCTACACACAGTTTTAGGTAAGTCATGCATGAATATCTAATAATATATTGCTGGTTAATATCGGCATTACTGAAAACAAATAAAATCACTTAACAAAGATATTTATCTTAATTTACGATTATTTGATTACATTGAACATGATGTTTTCAACTTTTTTTTACTAAAAAGGAACTACATATTCGGCCAACCATTGACATATTTGAATAGATTTAAGTTGCGGAAAGCTTACAAACGATAAGGATGAAAGGAACTATGCACGAGTGACGTTCATAGAATATTTCTGGTGAGAGTAACTATATCTATTTGATGTATCTCAGTTTTTTTACAATAAACGACTATGCGCACGAATAAGTTTTTTTATTTACGCTAGTTGGTTAAAAGGAGAAGATTACGTATTAAAAAATGAGCACATGCAAAAAGAAATTATTCACAGCAGAACTACTGAGAAAATGAACCTCGTTATCTAAATATATTTTCTTCTGCGCAGATACATGTAGTATCTTTCGTCGAGCTTTTTCTCTCACCTATAAAGGTATAACGTCATCCATATGATAACACAACTATTATGTTAATAAGCTTCGATAGAAATAACATATACAATTCTCATTATATATCGAGCATCATCGATTATACTAAATGACTTCTCTTTTTTTTTCGTCTCCGACACATATTCTCTAGTTAATACTTCTCGTTCAGATTGGGTATTTGCAATGGTTCTCTTTTTCTTTTTAGAATGGGTAGAAAAAAAATTCAAATATCGAAAATAACTGACGAACGTAATCGTCAAGTGACATTTACAAAACGAAAATTTGGTCTTATGAAAAAAGCTTATGAATTAAGTGTTCTATGTGATTGTGAAATAGCGCTCATTATATTTAATTCGTCCAATAAGTTATTCCAATATGCATCAACGGATATGGACAAAATCTTGCTCAAATATACGGAATACAATGAACCACATGAAAGTCGAACAAATAATGAGATTGTGCAGGTAAAAAGAAGAGAAAAGAATTATTCGTATGATGGTTGTTTTTCCTTCTTCTTCTTCTTCTTCTTCTTTTATATAAAGATTCTTCATAAAAAGGAATCGAAACATCTTGATCAAAATGATAGTGATAATGATATGGAAGATGATAGTGCTAACGAAATGGATAGTAATCATCAACTTCTATCGCTTCATCAAATTGAACCTGTGTTGCATGACTCAAGAAAACGTACAAATCAAGTATTTATATATCAACAAAAGAAAATAATTGGATTTTTATTTTTCTTAAATAAATTTCAGTCTCAACAATCTGGTAATTATCATCCATTGTTGCCCATGGGCAATGGTATTGGACAACAACAACAACAACAACAGCAGCAACAACAACAGCAACAACAACAACAACAACAACAACAGCAGCAGCAGCAGCAGCAACAACAACAACAACAACAAAAGTTTTTATCAGGTTCATTGATAAATTGAATTTAACGTATTCATCGTAGAACTTTTTTTTTTCTTGAAATCTAGTTCATGGAACAGCTGGTATTGATGCATCTTCTTCACCATCCCCTAATTCAACATATTCACCACCAAGCTCACCAAGTGAATCACGCACCAGTCCTAATTCATCATCTAAACAACAGTCAGCATCAAATATAAATAACAAATTTTCAATGAATTCAAACAGTGGAACATCATTAACAGCAACTTCATCACATGCCACACCTCATCATAATGATTTGACAGGTGGAGGAGGATCAACTAATCGCATCAATGGTAAATTTGCTTTTGCTTTTTCTTATTTATTGTGTTTTCACTATGACAAGAATTTTTTCTTAGCTGATTTTACACTAAATACGGGTACTGCCGGTGGTGGCGGTGGTAGTGCCGGTGAAAATAATAATTTTCTTCATTGGCATGCATCACCTCGTTCATCCTTGGCTGCTGCACTTCAAATGAACCCATTACCATTAGGGTAAATCTTGCTATTTGAAACTGTCATGAAATAAAATAATACGATATTTCGTTGTTTTTTTTCTCGTGTCCAGAATGATGAATTATGATATGCAACAAGCTCTATGCGCTCAATCGCCGGCAACAAATAATAATAATAATAATAATAATAATAATAATAACAATAACAACAATAATAATATTCCGAATGGTATTAGTTCACATTTATATTATCAACCGCAGCAGCAGCAGCAAAATCATCTTCACCATCATCATCAACAACAACAACAGCAACAGCAACAGATTCATCGTACGAAAAATGAACCGTATTCACCGCCTATATCACTTGCTAATAATAATGCTCGCTCATCAATAAATGATACCAATTCCGGTCCAAATCATCCGATATCAAAAACTCCCATTCCCTCACAGCAACGATCAGTTGATTATATGAATTCATCTTCATGTTCAGAACCATCACTTAAACATGCTCGTTTTGATCCATCAACTTGGCCGAATACAACTTGAAAAACGAAAACGACGGAAAAACAAGACTTTCATGTTTTCGTATAAAATTTTGCTCAAATATAAAGGAAAAAAGACATTATTCATGCTCATCTATTGACCAAGAAAAATTATGTTTTTGTGACTCATGAAATACTGAATGATTACATATGTGTCATTCTTTTCTCATTCTTATTGTATTTAACAAAACACAATGTGAATACCGGTGTATGTATTTGTGTGTCTAACTGTTGTTTTCTTTCTGAGTTATATCTATATTTTCTTTCTTTTTTGGTGTTTCCAAACTAATGATGATGATGTTGTTTTCCTTTCGTATTTGTATATTCAACAGAAAAAAAAACAAAAAAAAATGACAGTGATGATTTTCAGTATACCTATAGGTGAGCTTTTCTTTTGTGTATCGTATTCCTTGTTAATGTATGTCTGTTTACTGACATCCAATACACAGATTAACTAAAACAAAAGCGAATTACATCGTTACATATGATTGATTAATATAAATTTGTTTTTTGAATGGAAAATAAATTCATTGAACTGAAAATAGAATGAAAAATTTACATCAAATAAGAACAAATCTATTTGTGAATATGCAATTTCTAATATTTTTACATTTTAATAGGCACGTATAATAATAATATTAAAAAAATTGAAACGGCTTATGACGTTAGGTATTCTTCTATTCATAAGTATTTAGTTAACTGGGAAAAAAGCCAAATATCATTCACCAAAAAAACTATTATTTATGTTTTCTTTTCTGATAAACAGATGGAAAGTTGGTTCAATAAAATTACTAACACGGACTGCAATTACTTTAGCAATATGGGCTCTTATTTGAATTATATAAGTCGACTAAGTTATGAACAATTAATGTGATGTTGCGCATTTTTTGTTACACTGCAGTCGATATGTCGCTAGTAAATTTTGTCGTTTGAAAAGCAACTGCGAATAATATACCATAAAGGGAGGAAGAAATAATTAAAAATTAACCTGTCACTGGCTTTTATCAAGTTCAAATCTTTATATGGTCACATTACCACTTTTTTACAGACCAATTAAAGAATTCCATTTTACAATCCTTTGTATTGTATATGATGATATATTTTTGCATATTATATTGTAACCTTAGTTCTATGTCAAAAGGTTTATTAGATTGAGTAAAATGAATCGCTATGTAATATAAGATGCAAAACATAACGTCAAAGCACGGATGTTTAAGGCTTATTGACCTCGCTATCGTCAATGTATTTTAGAACTTCATTTGACAGCTACACTTGTAGATTGATGCCAATGATTTTATTCTATTTAATTCCATAAGACTTTTGATTAATCATTTCAAATTATGGAAATTTTTTTTTTCTGTTCAAGTGCATTTATCAATGTCTATATTCTAGAATCTTTTTTTTTTTATAGAGCATCTAACATATGTAACAGTTAAAAATATCTATTATGCTATACAAATAAATGATCCTATGATGATTTATTTGACTAAGAAATAGTTTTTGTTTCGTTTCTCAACAACATCATGAGAAAAGCCACAGGGAGAATATTTTAGATAGCTGGTGTAAAATAACAAAAGGAAACAAAATCTTTCTCATTTTATTATGTGAAATTTCCTTATCATTTTGCCAGCGGCTGATTATCAGTACTTGAATACATCGACAAGTTTTCATCTTAGGAAATCTCGTCGATTAAAAACAAAAACGAAGCTTGGTGTTTTCTTTCGATGAAATTTAAATGAAAAAAACGTTTTTCGTGGTTGTTCGATTGAAATTTGATGTATTCACTTTATTCATAACTGGTACCTCTCCATCGATACGTAGGCCGTTTCGTTTCACTATCAAGTCGATTGTTTTGGAATTGTCAATATGCAACATTTTATTGTTTTCGCTCGTTTACTAACAGTAAATTGCATTAGAGGAAATCGATTGCTTTGTTCGTGTACACTGAAATATGAACTCTTCAGTTACGAGAAAGCAAAGAAAAAAAACAAAAATTTTTCAAATAAGAAAGAAACACAAGAAAATCACAGGCGTGTTATAATTTTCTTTTAGTTGACATATTTCACTTACCTTTGCAGGCAGATTAAGTATAGCTCTTGTTGTTGCTTTCACTATGGCGAAAACAAAATTATCCATACATGTTTATTAAGTATACTTGAATGTGACATAATTGTAACGTTTTCTTTTAACTATTATTTCCATCAATCAATTTATATTCTAGACGTACTTTTCAGAAAAATTTCAAATTGTTTGTTTTGAAATCTTCTTATTCTTTTTTATGAACAGAAATTTTTTTTCATAATAAATATGCAACAATTGGAGATCAAAATGAATCGTTTTCTAAAAGGTATTTTAACCATTTGGCTGAGTCTATAGACGATGCTAATTTTGAATGAGCAAAATCAACGATGTACATACTTAAAAATAAAACTATTCTCTAAGTAGAAAGATAATCGTACGGAAAGCATAAAGCTGAGTGATGGGTCGATTTATGAATTTATGCGTGAATAGGTGGCATGATTAATCTAACACGGGAAGTTCACTAAGTGGCCAATTACGTTTTAGATAGAACGGTGTGCAGCTTGTCTGCTCTTACGAGTTGTCAATACTTTATAAAACACTGACAAGCTGCTTTAGCTTACTGCTGAAGACATCTTAGCTTTTGCTTGTTTGTTTCGAAATGTCTTTTGAAACAAATCCTGTGGTTTCCTTCAGAAACATCGCCAGAAGAAAGTCGATATTCCAACTTCCGCTTGAAATAGATTTTAATTAAAATAGTTTAATATTAGGGGTTTCACATTTAAATTTAAAAAAAAATTGTTAAATCGAGAAATAAATTAAAATTCAAGAAGTTTAAATTTAATTGAATTTAAAATTTTGTATCATTTATATTTAAATAAATTAAAATTAAATTGTTTGAAATTCAACTTAGTTAAATTTTGAAAACTATTAAGGTGCACCAAGGTCAAAACTTGAGCAGGAGAAAAATTCCTTTTATTATTACATAGTTGGATAGAGTTCGATGAGTGGATCATGAATGTCATCTTTAAAATATTTCTAGACTTCCGTTCTGGTTGAGAAATTTTCAAAATACAAACTGTACCTGAAAAAGCGAATATTTCACTTTTTTCGAGAAAACTCGAAATTTACCTAGTTTAAAAATGTTCTATGTTTAGAAAAATATCATCATCGAATTCAGCGTGATAATCTGAACTTACTGATGTAACTTTGACCAGTACAAAAAACATAAGTTTCATGTTTGAGGAGCTCAACTAGGTGTCCATGTAGACATGTTGCAATTGATGTCTCGCAAAATCATCAACTATCTTTTTTGAAAGAAATTCTCGGACTTTCTTACATCATTCGAACCGCCAAGCAATAGCGAACAAAAATAATTTTTATTCAGTTTTAAAAATATTGTTCGCTCTCTGAGAAAATCGATTTTTACTGGATCGGTGACTATAAATTAAAGAATTGACCTCTTATTTCGAGGGTTTCACTATCAAAACTCAATTTTCATGTAAAATAAACATCAGATTCGGAATCATCAGGAAAAACTACGTTGACTATCATAAACATTATCAAAAAATAATTTTCATCAAAATTCCAGCCGGGGCGGGGGGGGGGGGCGCGGGGGGGGGGGGGGGGGGGGGGGGGGGGGGGGGGGGGGGGNCTGTATTCTAAAGTCAAATCTAGTCATTCTTCTACGAACTGTTCTATTAAATATATTTTTATGAGTATCCCGATATTTTGAAGAAGAAAGATGACGGATCCTGCATAATCTATAGAGAAATTTCGACTATTATGAACAAATATTAACCTAAAATACTAGGTTCTCCTCTCATTTAGTATATACTACTGTTAAAGCCACGTATTTTCCTCATAGCCATAATGTGTATCTATCCAAGCAATTTATTAAATTTAAATAAAATAAACTGTAAATCGACACGCCTATTTAATATTGAAGTTTGAAAATTTGTTTCATAGTTTCTATTCTACGACATGAGCTAGGGTGAACAAGTACGTCTTATGTATATCGTTCATATACAAAGAAACATTTGACCTTTTAAATTTGTGGATAATTCAATCAATTCAATTAACATGAATCAATGATAATCTTATTTAAAAAAACGCAATATGACAATTTCATCGAAAAAAAACTTTAAATATAATTCACTGTATTTTTATGAGCGAATTTAAATAGAATTATTTTATAATTTATTATTAAACAACAGAAATTGGCCAAATTTGATTTTCATGTTCATGTCTATTCATGTTATGAAACTTCGTATGAGGAATAATTGTTTGTGTCATTATAGTAGATTTTGAAAGTTTTTCTTCGATGTCATTATCACTAAAACGTTCTACCATATCAATATAATAATCAGTATGCGATAAATGAAGTCTTCGTAACTTTTGTTGATATTTTAAAGCACATGCATATGCACGTTCTTCGACCATAGCTTGAAGATCATCATGTCCGATTGATGTACACGATTCATGATCAGCAAAATAACCACGAAATATTCGTTTTAAACGTTCAACATCTGCTAGTTCTTCTAGAAAACAAATTCTTCCGTATATATTTATATCAATTGATTTTTAATTTATACAAACGATAAAGTTTATTTTTATTTGGCACATCCCAAAGTGTTTTTAAAAAATAAGCAGGCAGTTCGTATTGTTGTCGTTGGGTTGCTTTTAATTGTCGGCCCAATAAACATATTATACTCAAACCATAAAATCCGATATATGCTATAATGAATGAAGCAGCACCTTTATTACCATATTGAAAATCGTTGAACCAATCGTCCTCCACGTTCGATGTCACATTCATCTCTGTAAGACTTGTTCTTAACGGCACCAGATTGTATAACTTTTTAGTTTTTTCTTTGAAATAAAATATAATAGAACAAAAAAAAAAGAATAAGAAAAAGCAACGACATATGGTCATTTCATTTATCTTTAAACATATAGCTTATATTTCAACCATTAATTTCATTATATTATACAACTAAAAGAATGTTTTTCTAAGAATAATCTAGTGATGGTTAAATTTAGATCAACTTTTTTTTTCAATTCTCTATTCTACATGACAACTGAAGAATGAAAGTGCAATAAAAACCCATCGGTTATTAAGTACAGTTAGATAGTTATCGATTTCTTTCTGAGAATTCCTACAAAATTTTTTTAAAAAAGCACTAAACGCTATTGATAATCAATGATAGATTCTTCTAGAAAACTTTTTAAAGAATCTCCATCAGCTAAATAGTATACTTTTTTTTTATGAAAATCGAATTCGAATGATAAATATCAAGGACGATGGATAACATTCCATTCATTTATCACTGTTTTCATGCGATAGATACAAAAATTATAAGTGATTCAAGTTATAAATTGTGGAAACAGACAATATTAATGTTCATGAGTTTATCAGCATTTGTATTCCAATGCACTGAACTCTGCTCTGTAGATCTAGAATACATAGAATATAGTTATTCTTTATAGCCTACTCAAGTATTTACAGTCTCTCCGAATTCTGCATAGAAGTATATTGTAATTTTAGAATATAAGGTAATTTTTGCTTTGTATATCAAGATCTATCTATGTTGAAAATTTGAAAAGTTTTCCAATTACTAATTTTTTCTTATTTACTGAGCATTATGAGTCCCAAGAAGACAAAGTTTTCTATAAAGAATTATGATGAAATTATCCTTTTTATTGTGCGATGATATCACAATGAGTCATCCATACAGATAATTTTATTGAATATTAGGATTTATTGATTAATCGTTGATTATAATTCATAATTGACATTGCATTAAAATAAACTCGCATTCTCTTATTGATTAACTAGATGCACTGGATAATAGCAACTATGCTGTTCTTTAACCTATACAAAATAAATGAAATAGAATATCGTGCCATAGTCGTCACATGACACAAACGCGTATCAACTGTAAATCCGCTTTTAATAAACATTTTACGCGAAATGCGTTTAACATCAGCTTAGGCAGGATTTTAAATATAAATACGACTTCTTCTATTATTAGTTTTCAATGGGAAGGTACGAATTTGATGTTAAATATTTTCTAGCGTACTTGGACATCTACTAGTTCATATAGATCATAAACTACGTTTTTCATTTCCTCCTTGATGAAATAGAAGTTGCGATGTCAAAAATAATAATTTGTTTTTCTTTGTTTTAAATTAATTGGCAAGTATTTACAGAAGAAATGCTAAAAGATAATATGGATATATTTGTGATAGCAACAACTATTTGTTTTTCACAAAGATAAAATTTCATTGCTTCCTTGATTAGTTTTACTAAACCAAACATCAGAAAAACTGATTACTACTAACAGTTTAGACATGCTGCACTAAAATTCTCAACCATCAAGAGACATACGATCAAGTTTAGTTTGCCTTCAAAAGGATTCAAGATTTCCTTTCTCTTGTATTGACGCTAATTTTTTGACACTCATTTTTTTAATTATTTTTTAGTAAGCAATTAGTAAAATTTTGATCTTTTTTATAGGGAGAAAAAATGTACTTGCATGTCTTAGAAGTACGAGAGCGTTCCAAGATAAGGAGAATGTCATAGAGCTGCCATCAAGACCTATGGAAAAATACTGATAAGTATCAAGACGTGCAGAAATATCTTTTTTCCCTACTCATATTGCTCATTCATTATATTCTCATTGAGATCGTACGTAAGTGAATCGGCCTAGAGCTACTGAAAATCTAACAACAATCTTTCACATTTTAATCTTCATTTTTAGTCATCGAGGCCTAAACTAAGGTCTATCACAGGGTTGCCATCTCTTTCACTTTTTGCGGAAAGTTTCCGCTTTTTCACTTTTTTTCCGCTGCTCCGCTTTTTTGTATAAAAAGTGTTGCATGTCAAACATATGTACAGAATAATATTTTATATTATTGAATCAATTCTTATTGTTTACAAATGCCGTCAGTCACCATTCTTTTAGGTTTGAAACTTTGATGAGATAAAAAAAATCCAATAAATATGAAAAAATGCCTAATATTCTCAGAGGCATTACAAATCTGCAACAATATAAGCTTCTGCATTTTTCCGCTTTTTCTATTTTTGTTTCCGCTATTTTCCACTTTTTAAACTTCCCCAGGTGGCAACCCTGGTCTATTACTAGCATCGGCTGTCTATAGCGTGTGTATCTTCAAATGGCTCGTATTGAATTTAATGATACAAACATAAAAATGAATTAAAAATAAAATAGTTCTCTTGAATACTTGTGCAATATTCAGAAAAATTTTCGAAACATCTACTAGAATAGAGTTCAAAATTGCAACGCCGGTAAATACGAGGCATAGCGTGATTCCGACTCACAGATCTTTGATGAATCCTATTTGGAATATGAGCATGTGGTTATATAAATAAAGGCATTCACTAATATACTTTGATATAAATGCGTCTTTATTTATATCCGCATCCTGTATTTATTTGCAATTGCATTTTTTGAATCCCAACTGATTTATGTAATTATGTATGGATGTTTCACAATAATTGTGTCAGTCATTACTCGCGCATCACGACTTTGCCTAGAAAATAATTATTAGATATCTGACATGAAAATATGGTCTTTTATTTTTAAACAATACTCTAGAAATATCTTGTTTCTTAACATTCTTAAGTATCATCTTGGATACGTGTGCTTTTTGGCCAATTGCAGACTTGTCATAAAAAGCGACTTTATGTGCTATATTCCTGATAAATCCCGAGGGGAACGTCTTTTGCAAGTAATCTTTTCGCTGGAATCCTGGCAAGCGCTGCGATGTATGGCTATATTATATATTTTATAAAGTAAAAATAAAAGTTTTCTATATGTCAAGAGATATGACGAAAGCAATTTAATTAGTAATTAGTTTATTTGACAGACTTGTGACGCCATTGTTGAAAACAAATACACAATCATCTTCATATTTATTCTAATTAATACAACAGCAACTGAAAAGATGTTTTATCTTGTTGATTCTATGGGAAATCATCCTTAGATATAATTTCATTTTGTCCAACCAAGACTGAATGACGATTATCAATTGTTATGGCTGGATGTGATAATGATCGAAATTTAGCATGAACTTTTGGATATAACGTAGTAAATCTCAATGAGTAACGTTCATGAGGTGCACGTTGTCCATATTTGTCTTGTTGGTTTTTAATCAATAAAATATTTTGTAACTGATTGATATTTTCAATTTTAATGGTTGTATAACATTTAAATTTAAATAAAAATTTCGACGGAGAAAATATAATAAAATATAATACTGGTTTACAGCTGATACCGGATAAAATGACCTGAGCAAGTGTACGACTATTAATCATACTGTTAAGGTATGATAATGTAATTGAATCAAATATAATTTCAATTGTACGATATAAATAAAATGGAAGTGATGTTAATGTTAAACAAGTGAATATATATAGTATATAGAGTGATAATTGTTGTTCACGAAGAAATGATGGTGAAATTTTTCTTGCTGTTAAACAACAGGATAAACGAATATGCAGACATATTTCAAGAATAAGACCTAAATAGATTATATTTATTAGCTATAAAATTGAATGAGACTTTTGAGAATTGATCGTTATTTATAGGCACAAAAAAAGAAAACTTTTTCATCGACTAAGTCGAAATGTGAAAGTATAAAAGATTCTAAAGAACATAGAGTTATTTAAACTAATGATGTTCTTCAATTGTTTTTTTTCGTAAACTAGTATTATACTGAAATTTAAACAAGTGATATACTATTTGGAATATATCCGTCTGAGATTCTTCTATCAGTTTATATGTTTAATAATCAACAATAGAGATAAACTTAATAATTCATGTTAATTCTTTTAGCAACTTGGAAAATCAGCTCATAAAATATTTTTTCTAAACTGATTTTTTGAAGAACAACCATTCTGTAAGTAAAAAGTCTATTACATCTGTTAGCGGCTAACTCTCGTTATGTTTTTTCTTTCTTTTCTTTGATCTGAATTATCTCAGGTCATTCTTTATTTTGCACTTATATTTCTATTTTTTTCCAAACCCTCGATATATATATATATATATAAATAGATGGTTTTTCTATTAGTAGTATGTGTGCACGTGTTTGTGTTGTGCGCCAAAAGCGTGATGTGATATTTGTTTTCGATTTGAAATAAATAAAAAGAAATCGAACATAAAGCTCTCTCTCTCTCTCTCTCTCTCTCTACCTGCTAATAACATCAAACTATGCTTCATATTAATATGGTCGCTAATGTTAGCCGAAAAAATAGTTGATTCAAGAGTAATTCACTAATGAAAGATGCTCATTTAGTTTAAGAAAATTCAAGATATTGGCATATGTCAAACTTGAAACTTGAACTCAAGTTTCAACTTTGGCACTACTGGATATGAAGAACATCCAGTGCAAAAGTATTGTGTCAAGCCAGTAATTTAAATTGCTAATCAATTCGTCAACTGAAAAGTGCAACGATCAAAAGTAACCCGAAGCATGATATTAGAAGGAAAACATCTCAATTATCATTCTGAAAAAAAAACTCTATTTAAAGCCCGATGGATTTAATAGAAAACAAAAAGAACAAAAGGAAACATCGTGTTTTCTAACGACGTATACTATCAATCTGAATGTTTTCTGTTGAAGCAAATTTATTACAGTGATCTTTCCGACAGTTCTGTCAGTGCTGCAGTTAATTGGAAATTACCTAGAAACGACGAATGTCACAGTAAACTAATGACAGGATCTGCTAATTTCAATTGCAACTCGTATACAACTCAACTTTGAGTTTTTATAAAACTCATCAAATCTTTAGTAAGGATCAAAAGATTGAGCTTAAAATAGAAAAAAAATCTTTTTGACGTTTTTATTTTTGCTTTAACAAATCGGATAAGTATACATCAAAAACCTGTACATGTAAATTATTGTCAAATATATTTCTATTGTTAAGAAAATAAGTATTGATTTTGACATTAAATTATTTTCAGTAAGAATTTTTAACTTCATGTTTTTTTTCTTTTGCAAAAGAACGTTTCATAAGTAAGCAACGGATTGGCAAAAATCATAGCTGTAATTTTCTTGGGAATGTTTACAAAATGTATCGTTATATCGGAAAAGAATTGTAAAAAATTAGTGATGGCCTAAAAATTACTGTTCTTATCAGAAACCAAATATATTTTTAGCCATACATTATTTCAATAATCTGATGAATCATCATATACGCCAACGCACAGTATCAAGTACGTTTTACAAATTGAGGGAATGCTGAAGAAGATGCTAACAACTGATTGGTGCACGATGAATAGGAATGTGATTTAATTCAAGCCGGAGAAAATTATAGTGAGAGCATTATTTATAAAAGAAAACAAAAGAATGAATTTCTTATCGTCTAACATAATAGTCAAATTATGCTCGATTAGGAAAATTTTCTGCGGCAGCATTAGTTTCATTTATAGGACCAATGTCTTCTATTTATGTTTAAATATAATTAACTTCTAAATCTCAAACCCACACGTATATATATATATATATATACACCGAAAGAAAATATTTATAAGAAATCAAGTCAAATATTGATATGTATTGTTGTTGAAAGTCGACAACTTTAATGATTATTAACTTACCCATAAAATGTAATGAAAATAAAAGTAGATAATCAGCTTCAATTAAATATATAAGACGGGCTGTAAAACTTAAATTATTATTTGTTTGTAAATAGCAAATGATTTGTTGTTCAGGCAAATAATCATTGTTATCATAGTATCCTTCTAATTTACCGTAGGATTGATGAAAAGTTTTATTCATTGGTGAAGTAGAGAATGATTCTTTTGTTTGATTTATTTCATTATTAATTGCTGTTGGTATAACAAAATTTTGAATATTTGCTTCGCCCCATAACCATAAACCGTCGACAGACCATGCAAGTGCTATTACAAAGGGTATTAAAATGCATAGATCAGTAAGAAGTAATTGATCGAGTGTTGTTGTTGTAAAAGTTTTTGTAGGAAATCTTTTATTTAATATATAATGATAACGAAGCAGAATAAATATTGTCAATAGAGGAATAAAATGAAGTGTAAACTTCCATAATAAATTATGAAGTGAACATAAATGAAAACGAGCAACTAATGCTTGAAAATAATATTTCTCATCAAGACAACTTATGATAGCTGATAAGCATAAGAAAAAATCGTTACTTGTTAATATTAATAGAAATCTATATTTTTTATGTGAAAGTACATGAACAGATTGTTTTTGTTGTTCGATTTTATTTACACTTGATTTTCGCTGTTTGTATTGTGAAATAATTGATGAAAGATATAGAATACAAATGATATTCGAACATGCACCAAATATATTGATAAATAATGTTAATGTTGAATGAAATAATGGAGAATGAGCAATCGTGATTGGACTAAAATATGTTTCATTTATACGCCGTTGTGTAATAAAGAAAAAACTATCATGTAATAGCATTTTTCTTGAAAAATCTAATTTTATGAGTATAAACAAAACACTCGTTAATATTTCATCTAAAATAATATTGTTACAATAAAAACAGATTTCATTTCTGTTTTTCTTTCTTTGTCTACTTTTTCTTCATAAATTTTTAAGTTTTTCTTAATATGCAATAATAGCAGGGCTCCTAAAATAATTTAAAGTGCTTTTTTAAATGAGGGATAATAAGAAAAAAGAATTGTTGCTACCGGAAAAACAATTCAAAATGTAATATTGCATATATAGAAACCTGAAACATATATATTTTATATAAACTATGAATAGTACGTGACAGATAATGAGATTGGTTTCATGTTAGCGTTCTTTGAATGATCTAAACCTAGGACAACAAAAGTCAATGGCCTATTATTCGGAATTAATAAGTAAGAAATTTAATTTTTTTGAAAAATGTGTTTAGAATAAATTAGATAATATGCACGGAAAATAGTGTATACTTAAGGAATTGAAAAGCTCTTCAAATAAGTCATGCTTAGAAAAGAAAAGCGGAAAATATTTTATCTTATAGAGAAAATAATATAATCAACTAATAACGAGATTAGACTTAGTGCATGAGATTTTGAAGACTAGTTTTATAAAAGCTGATTCTCAACGTCGGATATCTGAGTTTTCTGAATTCAGTACAAAATGGTGGGAAAGAAAACATGACATATAATCCTGAATTTCAAATGAAAACAAGACTAGCGAAAGGACAGGGCAAGCATATATGCTTCGTTTCCGTTCCGACTGACATAAGCATAGTATTAGTCTTGAGAAAGGCGTGAACTGTATACCGAATCGAATCATTTCTCAATACAAATGATAATAGAGAAAATTCGTTTGATATTTTTCACATAATTTAATTATCTGTTACACAACAATATAACTTACAGCTTACTCGTAATTGAGAAAGGTTAATAAGGTTTTCTTTAGCAACATGCACAATTAAGTCAAAAATAACTCATATTCTACATCATTAATAAACTGGTCTTCACTGTGTATTTTGATATAAATTTTACAAATAATAAGTTAACATTGCAAACCGAGTCGAGCATGCCGGGGAATTTCCTCATTTTGTGTTTTAATCTCTAGGCACAAAATAAATCTTTCAACGACTAACGTGATCATATCATCGTTTATATTAAAATGGAACCTAGACAGGAGTTCTCTCCTTTCTCGCCTTTTTCTAGTAACCATGAAAAAGAACACAACGAAACATTTCTCGTCTGGATAAATAATGATCTATCAGAGCTTTTATTCACATCAAGTTCGTGTTCATCCAAATATAATATTTAAGAGAACGAGAAAAAAAGAAGCATTGCTTGGGTAACTCTCTTCGTATATTTTCATTGCCATGATAAACATGACCTTTTCTCTCCCTTATTTTTGATTAATTTTTTTCATCAACTGAATTATTTACTTTCTGTACAATTAATAATGAAACACATAAGCTTTTTAATCTGAATTAATTAGTGAATTTGAGCAACATCACAGCGATGAATTTTTTTAATTGAAGAATAAACATAAATTTTCTTTGTGGCAACAATTCATTCGCGTATTTGTAACTAAAGAATTCTGTGCTTTTATGTATACTAAAATATTTAACATTAACTAGAACAAATCTTATTCCGGCAAACACAGCTTTTTATTTATTTTGTACTCTTATTTTTTTAACTTTTATCTGAAAACATAAAGAAGCGAATTTCCGATCATTACTGTTACTCACTTCCGTAAGATGCTAGTAGCATATTATTAGATTCATTTTTGCTGAATTTTATGTCATATTACCACAGTGGGTAGCTGGAAGAATTTGACGTTTACTTTACAGGTGAAATCCGTGAATGGGAGAAAGATCAAGAGATTGTAAAATATGATGCGAGGGTGTATATTTGAAGGAAATCGGAAGATCTACTGCTGTCTGATGTGAAAACGCTCAGATTAATCAGAAAAGAAGAAATTATGTGTTTTTATTTTTGATAACATGAATAAACATTAGAAAAAATTCATTCATCAAATATCTCGTACCGTTCTTATTTTATAATAATAATTATCCTATGAAAGATTCTCATCAAGCAAAAACTAGTCTGAGCCGTAGTTCGTTTTTAATGATAATAACATGAGAAAAAGCTGATTCAATTAAAGACTTTTTTTTCTTCTTGTTAATGATTTATATCATAAAAATTATTAAGATTAATGTCGAGCACTTGGGCATATTCACTGAAAACCACAAAAATAGATAAATCAATAAAAAGCTTACAAATGACTGTTAAATTGCATTTCTTAGCAAATGTTTATTTCAGTCAGCACTACGTATAAGATTAATATAAAAAAGTACGAAATCGTAAATATATTGATTAACAAAAATGTTAATCACCCAAAAGAATCTAGTACTCAAAAGAAAATAACGTCTAATGGAAATAGTAATTCATAAATATGTAATTGAATTTCTAAGCGTGTAACAATAGGAAATCATATTAATATAATTGCAATGCTTTACAATGAACTTGATTGAATATGAAACACTCATACCCAGATTATATATTGATTGTGTTCGATGAGAGCTCACATGAGTTGATAGATTGAATGGAATAGGAAATGATAGATGTCTAAACTTTTTGAATATTAACAACTGCGTACATTATGTTTTATATTAAAAAAATTATTTAATGGGATATAGCATTTTGTTGTAACAAGACAGGTTGAAAACATATACGGATTAGTTTTAAATTTCTTCATTATATTCAGCAGTACGATATCTTATCGCAACAAACGTTTAATAAAATTAAAAAACGAGTATCCTAAAAGCGAGCGGAAACAAATCTTGATGTTTATCAACTCAAGTATAGGTTAATTTACTACGAATTCAACTAAAAATTGGCACGAAGTAATATTCTATTCAATTCAAACCAAACCATTCCTGTTAGGGCATAAGACTGATGTTAGAGAATGCTAAATCTTTCTATGATACTGAATCTCCTTCATTCTCCGTATTTTCCTTTTTCCCATCGGTGCTTTCCGCCCCCTCTCTTTTTCTCCTCCGTTTCTTCTTCCTGTGCAGATTTGTTTACTTATGATTATAATTAAATAAATCGTTGTAAACAAGAAAAAAGTATAGGTTAACGAAATATAATTTTAATTAAAATATCGGCCAAAGTGCCGAAAGAAGATATTAAAGATACCATTGATGTATTCTTGGCATGAATGATTGTTTTTCATCGAAATCTTTCTATCGTAGTAGCGAGTGAATTTTAGAAAACTTATAGAGTGAAGATTTGCTTTTGATTCTTACATCACAAGGAAATGTTCGGTTCACTGAACAAAAAGTGAAAAGATTATTGATTCTTTAAATTCATAAGTTTTTTTACAGTGTCAATCTTCAATACTGTAGTCGATATTCTTTTCTTCGGTACATATGCAACTAATTATAAAGTTACAATTTAAAGAAAATTTATATTATTATTCTAGGTTTCAATATGAAGAGTGAAACTCGTCACGAGAAACGATGCGATTTCGACAAAGAAACTACCGGTAGTTGTCTCATTCAAATATAAAATTTACAGTAGAATTGTAATGAACCATTTCATGTTCATCGTGTTATTTTCAAGTAGTGTAATGGTTAAAGTAGCTGAATATTTGTTCTTGATTTGCAACGAAATGCTTGTGGGAGGCAAATGATTTTTATCAAAATCGGTCTTCGAAATGCTCTCAAGAATTCAGCAAATGTAAAAACTTAGCATATTTCATCAATGGCAATGGGAATGCTTGAAACTTATATATGTGGGATGAGGACAAAGAGATCACTCGGTTGATCTAAGAATTTATAAGCAAAGGTCTATCCTAATCTGCTCATCCAGACATTGAATATTTGAAATACGGAGAGCCACCAGTAAACTATTTCAGAAAAAGATTTTCGCTAATCACTATGATCTATATTGATGAAGGAAAAAAGGTCATTGTGCTTTTGCTCGACTGAACATAGGTAGTTTTTACTCGAGCATTCGTACTATTCTATTAAGCTTTATTTAGGTCGTAAATAGAGATCAAACGTGATGGTTGAATAAACTCTATGGAAATCGACTCTGCCTAGAATATCTTTTTGCAACGAAGTAATCAAAGAAAGAAACTTCTATTTCAGAATGCAACTTTTGTTACGACTAAAACTGTCTCTATTTAAATATGATTCGCGAATATAGACTATCAAAATAGCTATTGTAACGCTTTCTGATAATGGATAAATTTTTGTTTAAAACGAAAGACTTACTTCGATTCATTCGATCCCAAAACTTACAATAGATATTGTTTCGTGATATGTAACTAATTGATTTTAAATGAAGATCTATTTTTGTTTGATGGCTTCAGGAGATAAAACAACTTGTTTAACGACTATGAAATGTCATATTTATTTCTTGAACGAAGTCATTTCTCCTCTAAATCATTCACCCATTATTTCAGTAACGATGCAACGATGTGGAAATAAGTAAATCATTACCGCTTCAAAATGATGAATGTAAAACAAATATTATTTTCTACGTGTTTCCCTTCTCACTTGTATGGTACTTGCCATTTTGTTTTTATTAAAAATAGCCATTTGTTCGACTGAGCTAATCGAAATATCAAATAAAGATTCTTTCATGAAGATCTCGGCACTTAGTATTAGTTTTCTCAATAAAAAAAACCTTGAATATAAGCTTTCTCTTTTTTAAATAATTTTTGATGGCATAAGTATGATTAAGATAACAGAAAAGCGTTAACCTCGATAAAGAATTTTTCCAAAAGATCCAACAAACTGCGAGGAGAATCCCCACGAAATAAAAATGCAAAATATAATTGAGTACCGTTTGCTAATTTTAGAAATGGCGCTTTATTATACATTCTTCTTCGGGACGTTTTTCTATATTTTCATTTTAATTAATCTTTCGGAAACACAACAATGAAATGGCTCACAATGATGAATGAACTATCGGCAGAAAATCGATAAGTTG